CTCTCCTGTATCAGTTCCTGAGCCCACCCACCCTCAGGAACTGAGACAGGAGAGCTACGTCCCCGAACGTTGCTCTAATTTACAAAAGAGCTTTCTCCCACCTTGCTCCAATTTACAAAACTGCCTCTTGTCCTAAACATATGAGAAATTTGTTTTGTCTTCAGATAACCACCAGTTAACAAACCCAGGTTGCTAATCACATAGACCAATCCCTCTTACATCCTTCAGTACATTTCCTTTAGCATACCCCAGCTAACAAACTATCCTAAGGGAAAATTAAGAAAACAATCTTATTTACATCTGTAACAGAAAATAAAATACTTAGGAATTAACTAGAGAGGTAAAATACCTATTTAATAAAAGTTCTGAGACACTGATGAAGTAAACTAAAAAAGAATCAAATAAATGGAGAAACATTCTTCATGAATTGAAATAATATTAAGATGTCCATAATACACAAAGTAATCTACAGATTCAGTGCAATCCCTATGTGAATCCTTGTGGCATTTTTTTACAGAGATAGAACAAAGAATCCTAAAATTCATGTGGAACCACAAAAGATCCCGGATAGCCAAAGCAATCTTGAGAAGAACAAATCTGGAGCCATCACACTTCCTGTCTACAAAGTATATTACAAAGCTATAATAAACAAGTATGAGGTGGCATAAAAACAGACACAAACCAAGGAACAGAATACAAAGCCCAGAAACAAATGTACAAATTAATGGTCAGCTCATCTTTTAAAAGAATACTAAGAACATACAATGGGGAAAGGATAGCCTCTTCAACAAACGATGTTTGGAAAACTGGATATCCACACTGAAAAAAAGAAAGAATTTAGGCCTATATCTCACACCATACACAAAAGTCAACTCAAAATGGGTTAAAGACTTAGACATAAAACTTGACACTGTACTAGAAGAAAATATATGAAAAACTTTCTTGACATTGGTCTTGGCAATATGTTTTTGGAGCTGATCCAAAAAACAAAGGCAACAAAAGCAAAAATAAGCAAGTGGACTACATCAAATGAAAAAGCTTCGGCATACCAAAGTAAACAACAGAGTAAAAAGACAACCTACAGAATGTGAGAAAATATATGTATCTTTATATATTTTTGTTAGTATCCAAAATATATAAGGAATTCATATAACTCAATACCAAAAATACAAATAATCTAGTTTAAAAATGGGCAAAGGACCTAAATAGACAGTTCTCAAAAGAAGACTTTCAGATGGCCAACAAAGCATATTAAACAGGGTGCAACATTTGCAATCATCAGGGAGATGCAAATCAAAATCACAATGGAAATATCAACTCAAATCTGTTAGGGTGGTTAGTATCAAACAGGCAAAAAAGTGTTGGTGATGATGTATACAAAAGTGAACTCTTTTATACTTTTGGTGGGAATTTAAATTGACACAGCCATTGTGGAAAACAGTATAGGGATTCCTCAAAATATTAAAAATAGAACTGCTATGTGATCCAGCACTCCCACTTCTCTCTCTCTCTCTCTCTGTCTCTCTCTCTGCGTATATACACACTGATATATATGTATATATCCTATATATATCACACATATATATTTGTGTGTGTATGTGTGTGTGTGTGTGTATGTGTGTGTGTGGGTGTGTATATATATATATATATATATATATATATGGTGTATATATGCACAATGAAATGTTCAGCTATACCCACAAAAAGAAAACCCTGCCATTTGTGGCAGCATGGATGGAGCTACAAGTCATTATGCTGAGTAAATTAAGCCAGACACAGAAAAAATCTACATGATCTCAGTTATATGTAAAATCTAAAGTAGTCAAAACTTTAGAAGAAGAGAAGATGGACTTAAGGAAAGAAAGAATGGTATGATGTTGGTCAAAGGATATAAAGTTTCAATTATGCAACACAAGTTCTAGAGATCTAATGTACAGCATTGGGACAGTAATTTAAAATATTGTATTGTATACGTGAAAAAAGTCCTCTCACCTTTTGTTTTGTCAGAGTTGAGCTCAAGTTGCACGGAGTCTCTCCCCTACTGCAGTAGTACTGAATAAAATCCGCCTTGCCATTTTTAACAAGTGCCCAGTGCAAAATTATTCTTATAATGCCCAAGAGTGAGCTCTAACATACCTAACATTTAGAGGATTGCTAAAGAAGGAGGAATAAGCAAAGATGACTGAGGGAAAGTAACCAAAAATGTAGAATGAAAACTAGTAGAATGTGTAGTCATTGCTGACAAGAGGACAATGTTGAAGTAGGAAGGGATAGTAAGTGTGGAATTAGGCTGGAAGATTAACAGAGGTGTGTCCAATGGCTCAAGCAGCAATATAGAGGTCATTTGTGACTTGTTTCTATTGAATGATGTTGTGTGCCTGATTGAAAAGATGACAAGGAATGTAACCATTTTTTGAGACTTTGTCTTGGGACAGCAAATAAATAAATGGGGGGTGATATCTGGAGCAGGATGTAGAGTCTAGGGAGAGATTTTTATAGATGGGAGATTTTAGTCTGTCTTTGCATGCAGATTAGAATGATACAGAAAAGGGAGAGAAATTGATATAGAACAAAAAGGACATATTTGCAGGAATCAAACCCTAGAAAAGGCAAGTGAGCATTGTACTAGCCCATAGATGGAGAATTTGACCTTTAACAAGGAAAAGGAACTTATTTCATTGTAACAAGAAGGAAGAGAAAGACTATGCAAGGAATTTTGAAGTTCTGATGGCAGGAAGATGAAAATATTCCCACTGGAAAGCTTTAATTATCTCAATAGAGTATAGGTGAGGTCATTGTACTAAACAGTTCTCCAGGTGTCTCTTGCATTTCTGCATGTTTTGTGAGCTGAGACATTAACTACCTTTATTCTGGACTAACTTTTCAAGGATGTGGCATAGTAAACAGACTGGGAAGATACGGATAATGTTTCCCTTGGGATCCATGGGCAGACACACTTAATGTCCTGTATTAAGATAATGTCCCCCTCTGGGTTATAGACAGACAGGCTTAAAGCCCATTATAAAAGAGCCAGGTTCCCTAAATTCAGGATTCTCCGGTGTAATTAAAACGCCTGCATGTGTCAGTGTCCCCTGGCCCTCTCTGCACTGCTTCAGGTTTCAGGAAAATAACATAAATGCTGGGACTCAGGTTATTGTCATTGCTGTAATTAATAAAGTCCTTTGTGTCAGACCCAAGCATCTCAGGTCTTTTGCCAGCATCCATGAAACACAGACAAACTCGTAAGGTTGTAAATAAGATTAAATGTCAAACTTTAAAGTTCTTGAGTTATCAACTGAGAGTGATGGGGGTGCATGGGAAGTTTGAGGAGAGAAGAGAAGATACCAAACAGTGGTCCTGGAGAGCAGAAAAGTCAACTGATTAGGAAAAGGTTGAATATCCATTTGAGGTTTCGTGGTCGTAAACCTGAAGTAAAATGGATCAGCTCAGTTGCATTTTTTTTGCTGCAGTCACATTCAGCTGCCTCTAGTGAAGATGTGGAGAAGGCAGATGGTCATCATACTGTGGGTGACCTAACACAGTGACTACCATGGTGAGTGGACCCTTAGTCAATTCCTCCTGGGTTAAAAAAAGGAAGGAAGGAAGGAGCCAGCCAACAAGCAATTTGTTACTTGCAGCGAATCCCATGGAGGCATGCCTCCATCCTTGCCATCTTAGTGCACCCTGGCTGATTGCCAGCTGCTGCACCTGCATTTCTTTGCCAAGACTTCTTTGGCCAACAGAGCCCACTTTGCCCCAAACTGTGCTGCAGGACAGGAGGAAGCATCACCCTCCCCAGGAACAATGACTGATGGAAGTTTCTCTCCCTCCGTACCTCTCTCTCACGTCTGTCTCGTGTGTGTGTGTGTGTGTGTGTGTGTGTATTCCACTTTTTTTCCTTGGAGGAGATGACTTTGAAATGTGCATCCTACCCTGGCTCCCAAAGTCTCAGATGGCACTTCTAGTGTGAAGTGGTCTAGGCACCCACAGTGTTAACTGGCTTGATAACACACCATTCTTTGGCTGCCTTTCTTTCCTATTTATTCACTCTCCTCACAGTGTTTTCTTCAGTTTCCAAACAAACTACATGCCCTCCAGTCCTTGTCTAAGGGTCTACTTCCAGGACAACCCAAACTCAGGCTGTTAGTTAAGGTCATGTTGTTGAAAAGATTCCAGTGTGTTGTATTAATCAAAAAATGGTTATCACGTGGTTTCACTAGAAGGTAGGGAAGGGTACCAGCTGTTGGTTTAGCACCATGACTTTTTGATTGCTTAAGGTGTTACCAACCTTGGGATACTTTTATGTCATTAAAAACCTCAGCAAACACTGAGCTCTTTAGAAGTCCTGCTTTCCTGTCTGAGGAGAGGGAGAAAATGAAATACCCTTTCACTGTAGGGTACCTGATGTATGGGGACTGAGAACCAAAGATGGGAGTCTGTGTTCCTATGGAATATTAAGGACAGTTCTGGTAGAATATTGCCTTTTGCCACATATACTGTAAAAGCTCAATAACTATTGGGTGGGTGAGTGGATAGATGGTTGGATGAATGGTAGTTAAGTTTTTTGTTTTAATCACCATAATATTAAACTGCCTATGTCAGAATGGGCATGTGCATCCTTGGAACTTCCAATCACTGAGATAAATCCTGTTTTTAAAAAATGAAGTCTAGGACCCAGGACAGGCTGATCAGTGATTTCCTGTGGTGGTGGCTGTGACACAGGGCCACTATCTTAGGGTGCCAAGCATATTTTTTAGGGCATGCACCAGAAAAGATGCCATCTCAGTCCTCTGCATTTGTGAGTTATTGGTGGCCCACGGGTCATCTCATAAGACTGATACAATATGCTCTCTTCTATTTCTTTTTTTAAGAAAAGGAGAAGTAGTTTTCAGTGATTAGGGAGTTGAGATATCTTTTTCCTCCATTGTCTCGATCTCACTTTTACAATCTACTCATAAGAAAGTATGTAAACATTTTTTAAAAGCAAAACAATCAGAACATGTTGATTGGAGTATTTATTGAGTTTGCACAGTGCACTACAGGAGCATAGTGGTCTGCCTTCTCCAAGTACACACTGGCCTGTGTGGGGACCACAGCTGATGATGCACGGACAGGGCTCATGGCCTCTGTTCCCTCCCAGCCTTTGGGTTAAAGGAAGGGAAGGAGACCCCAAGGGACAGAGGAGGCTGAGAGCTAAAGAGGTGAAGGAGAGCAGGAGTCACACTACTGAGGGTGTTGACCATTTTCTCTGCGTATCTATCTTCCATGGATGGGCCTGCTGCCCAAGGGACCCAGTGACTTCCGCAGAAACCTCCTGGCTCTGCTGAGGTCTTCCTGGGGAGAAGCCTCATCGCTGTCCTCCTCAGAGCTGGAGCCCAGGGTGGGGGCTGCGGGCACAGGATGCAGACTGTCTTCACAGGATGCTGGCTGCCCGGGGCACCCAAGTCTGCTTGAGGACTTGAGGCTTTGGTTAAATGAGGCAGAGGCCATACACTCAGCTGCCGTGTGGTCACAGGCACAGAGCAACTTCTCACACAGGCTTTGGCCCTCGCCTTAGAAGGAAAGAGCAGAGTAGGAGACATGAGACCTCTGAGGATAGCACTGGGAGGCCTCCACAGACCTGGCCACCCCTCAGCCCTTCTCCTTCCTCCCCATCGTCCACATACCCTCAGGGTGTCCACCTCACGTGGCTGGTAATTTTCCAACTTTCTCTTCCTGCTAGGAATGATCCCTCTGCCAGGAATGCTCTCAACGGGTGCCTACCTGTCGGTCAAGACTAGGCTGGCTTCCCCTCCTACAGAAAGTTCTCCTGAGCCACCAGGCTAAGGGAAGTGTCTTTCCTGCGGGCTCCCATGGAACCCCACTTCGTGTTTTTTTCTGTCTCTGTAGGTTATGTGTTAATCTCATTGCACAGTCATTTTCTGTTTATATCTCCATTTTTTACTCCTGCTGTTAGAGAAGGTAGATAGGTAGATATGAGCAGGGAAGGCTAGAGCCCCAGAGAGTATCAGGCAACTGTCAAGTGACTGTCGGGTAATTGTAAGGCAGCTGGCAACAGGGAGGAGAAAGTTTCCTAACAAACAGGAGACATGTTGAGCTTGTGGGCAACTTCCTAATAAAAACTTAAGATGGTACATTTGACCTTCCTCTGGGGACATGTCCAGGTATGCACAGTAAGAGGAAAAACGGCAGCATTTGATCCATATATGGCCTTCTTCTGTGGGTGCTAGGTCAGTGAGGGGAAATTGCCCTAAGAGAGTATGCACATAACTTCAACCAGCAAAGAGGGCCCGCGGCTCCTCCTAGATACTGACAAGTCATTGTGCATGCGGTGATTAGCCAACAGCCTGCCCAGGGGGAGGGATGAGAGGAAGAAATCAGGGGAAAAAGACAGGAAACAGTAAATCTTTTAGAGCCCTGAGCCAACCATCAGGCAGGACACTCAGATCTTTTGAGTTGCCTGCTTGGTCCCTTCCAAGTGTACTTTACTTTGCTTCAGTAAACTCTTGTTTCTGCCGTAGATGTATTCCGTCTTCTGGCAGAATTCTTTCTCCCAAGAAGATAAGGACCAAGGGCTGCAGAGCCTGCCTGGACTCGCTGCCGGTAACACTGCTGGACAGAGAACTTTGCTGACAGAGCAGAGTCTGAGCACCTAACTCAGATCTTGACAAGTAATTCCCAAGTTAGTGCTCAGGAAGTATGTGTTAGATTTGACTGTTACTTCTTCCTTCTCTGGGCCAGAATTTCCCCATTCATCATTTACATTGCCGGATAAAATACAGATGACCAGTTAAATTTGAATTTCTGTTGATATGTTTGAAAGTGTGTCCGTTTAGGACATACTCATACAAAAAAATATTCATTGCTTATCTGAATTTCAAATTTAACTGGGCATCACGTATTTTTATTTGCTAGATCTGGCAAACCAACCCTATTTTTTTCAATATATGAGTCGCATGCAGTGGGAGTGGTGTGACTCAAATGAAATAATATCTTTGAAGGTGCTAGACATAGATAAGCTTTCTACAAATAGTATCCCTGTTATCTGTGGTTTTCAATGAAGCTAAGGGATATCTTTTTGCATCTAATCCTACTTTGAAGTGTTCATCAACCAGATTTTTTCCTATCACATGCCACACAGACCTTCCAAGCCTCCTAAATCGGTCTCCACGTCAGCCCTAGACATGCTGGTTGCATTTCAGCAGCAGGAAGTGACAAGAAGAGCAAGCAAATACACCAAGTGTGGGAGCAAAGTGGAGCTATGCAGAGGCCCTGTTCCCCGGAGCCACGTTGTCCTTCCTCCTGCATTTGTTTTATGATAGCACAGGACAGGATTTGAGATGCCTTCATTTCTCATCAACTAATACCTGGCATCTGGTATAGGAGGCTATGCTTAAATCTTACAGAGGGTCAGAACTGGTTTGCTGGAGCTCTGAATTAGTTCAACCTTCAGATGCAGTGTTCCTGGATTCTGTGATGTTGGAGGAACGGAGAGCAAGGCTTCAGCCCAGCAGGGGAGACCTCCCGGCACGATTGCACCATATGACAACTCATGTGCTCTAGACCCTCCCTTAGCTCCTCATCCCCTATAGGAAAAAATTGAGATGCTTCAGCCTTGCAAGTAGGTTTTTTGACTTCATGATCTAGCACCTGTCTATCTCTCCACCTTCACCGTGCACGACAACCAGCCTCCCACTTCCACTTTCTGTTCCAGCAATACAGAACCACAGCTTGGTTGTCCCTAAGCTGCCCAGCATTCCCCAAATGCCACCATTTTTCCCTTTTCTCTTTGCTTGGAATATTCATGCCCATGACCAACTGGGAACGTGTTAAATCTCACCTCACACCTCTTTTGAATTTTTCCAATTTTTCCTGTTCTCACTGTCATACCCTTGACTTAAATGCCTTTACCAGCATTCCCAGGGCCCAATGATACCTGTTAGCACATACTACATGGTATTAGAATAGTTGCTTGCCTACATCTCTTCCCTCCAAGCCGTGAGCAGTTTGAGGCAAGGATCATGAAAGTTCATTGTTTTCCTGGTTCTTGGTGAAGGTTTGTTCTTTAAGTGGATAATAGAAGAATGAATGAGAGAGTGATATGTAAGCACAAAGCTCCTAGGATGTGGCAGACATGCATGATTGTACAAGGCAAGATGACATGGCGGTCTCTGCACCGCGCTGTGGTTGTATAGAGGAGGGAGACGGATGGAAGGTCCACCCAGGGGGCCTCCCCTGACAAATATGAAAATGAGAACCAACTCTTACAGGGCCCCTGGGAAATTCTAGGTGAAGTGTTTCCTTTTAAACGGCAAAACATAAGGGAAATTCATCCACTGAAGTGAATGAGGAAACGGAGCTGGAGAATGCTGTTGAAGTTAGTTCTATAGCAAGTCTCCATTTGCTGTCATGGGGGCTGGTCATGGGGATTGCAGTTTTCAGAGTGGTCCTCCCCTGAGGGCCTGAAGGGATACAGAGGAGCCTCTGGCTTCCACCATAGGGAGACGTGGAGCTGCAGGCACACCTCACTCTACAGCCAGAGCCAGTCCCCCTTTTAAAATAGTATTCCTTAGATCTCCCTTGGGAAAAGGACTCTGCTTCTTAGAAAAAGTAAAAATAGAAACTCACTGATATAGTGAAGAATCAGCTTTAGGTCTGAAGTGATACAACTTTACATTTTAAGTCCCAATTCTCCCACTTATTTCTGTCTGTGTGATCTTGGGCCTCAGTTGCCTTATCTGCTAAATGGGGAGAATAATGGTGCTACTTCGTGAGACTTTTGTGAGGATTAACTCTGTCAACACATATCACGAGCTAAAAATCAATAAGCTTGGGCTATTTGTGTTAGTCTGCTCATCACCAACTCTGTGACTTAGGCGGCTCAGCCCCTTGACAGTGAACCTCCTCATCAGTGGAAAAAGTATGGTAATACACGCGCCCCAACGTTAAAAAAGAGTATTAAGTCACAGTACAGATGAAGAAGTGTCTGAAAAAGCATCCGCAAGTCTGAGCTACACTCACAATGCTAACCTGAATGAAATAACAACTCACTGTGCAACCAACAGCACTTACACTTGGGCTTGTGATCCACACACACCACCGGTGACCGAGGAAGCCTCTCCATCAGGCAGCCCAGCCTTCTCACTTGCTCTAAGCAGCAGCGATGGGACAAGCAGCACCTAAGACCAAGGAAAACCCTTTACTTCCCAGGGCTCCCAGCTTCCACAGGAATCCCCTCAAGCATGACGTGCTTCTTCCACATGCCCTGTAGTAGCCAGGGAAGCCAGTGCCTCCTTTCCAGTGCACACAGGGCTGACGCATATACACATTGTATACTGCACAAAGGCAACATTAATCATACTGTATGTGTCCTATTAAATGTTTTTAAGGCTGGACGTGGTGGCTCACACCTGTAATTTCAGCACTTTGGGAGGCTGAGGCAGGTGAATCACGAGGTCAGGAGATGAAGACCATCCTGGCCAACATGGTGAAACCCCTTTTCTACTAAAAATACAAAAAAATTAGCTGGGCATGGTGGCGCGTGCCTGTAGTCCTAGCTACTAGGGAGGCTGAGGCAGGGGTATCACTTGAACTTGGGAGGCAGAGGTCAGCCTGGCTATAGAGTGAGACTCAGTCTAAAAAAAAAGCAAAAAAACCCCACATTGTTTTTGTATTTTTATTGTAACTGTTCATGGCAAACATAGGTTATTTACGTATTTATTTAAATAATTTTTAGCAGATGGAAATGGAGTCTTGAGGAAGGAGTACCTTTTTAAATTTATACAAAGGTAACATATGGACTAGCAGTAACCTTAATCCCTCCAACCTTTGACATAGAAGAGTTAATCTCACATCCACAGTGCACTGTCATTTGTCCCTAGCCTTAAAAAAGAGCAGAGTAACTATCCTGAGCATAAATAAAGATCTGCATCTAGAAAAGTGTCCAGCATAGACCAGGAGCTTGCAAATATAGGAAAATGGAAATATATTCCATCCATCTGGGCTGATACGGACTCGCAAGTGTCCCCGCTTGCCAGGTGGACATCCTTCAGAAACTTGGGATGGCCTCAGCCAATAGAGAGCTACAAATGCTCCCCAGACACTCCCTTTCGATTCTCCCCTTTCTTTCATAACTCTCACTCTGTCTGGGAGGCCACAGCTCCAGCAGGGATAAGTCATAGCCTCTTGTGGCTTTTTTGCTGCACCTCTTCTCAACCAATTATCTGCTTATTGACTTTTCCACATTGCTAGCAATCAGAGGAACAATCCCCCATATGCTCACATAGCCACCAGCTAGAGGTGTCTGCCTCCTTCAGCTGTTAGCACAAAAGAGCCACATAATCTTGTGTGTGTGTCTGGCAGGGATGGGAGGGGTGGATGATTGACACAATAGTTGAAATCTAAAGTTAATGAGCGAATCAGAAATCATATGCAAATCAAAATATTCATAAAATCACTGAAATCGTCCATAATGTATAGTATAGGTAGTCTTGAAAATACATTCTTGTAGAAAATTATATCCGTTTGACTAACTCTTCCTTAGTCAAGAGTTTTCTCCTGTGACTTTGAGTTTTTCAGTTTCTTTCTACAGATGTCAAATAGCCATATCACAACTTACCTGACCGACTGGTCAAATTTTATATTTATATGGTCAGTCATCAGGAAACACCTTCAAAATTATCTCCACTTTTTTCCAAAGGGGTTCAACAGAATGCACAAATTGCTGCTAGCTATGTTTCTATTGGTCGCCTTGTCTCATTGAGAGCTATACACTCAAAAACCTGGACACTATTTAAATTGTCCTCTGCTGTGGAGAGCAGCAGGCATATGGTTGAACCTCAGAATGTAAACATGCTTATGACTCCACAGTGTGACATAAACTTTGCTAGAGTAAAAACTTCTTTAGGGTCCCCTGGTGGGAGGTAAGTTTTGATTTCCTGATCAGCAGAGCCTGGATTTCCTTCACTGAAAATCTCAGAGATGGATAATTAAGCCAGGATGGCTGAAAAGTAGAGGCAGGGAAGAGATAAAATACAGCCACCCAGACATCCAATCTGCAGCTGACATGCTCCATATTCCTTCCCTATCACTGTGCCCTTTGTGTTAGCTACAACAAGCTTTGTCTTTTTGTGCTTTTAAAATTCATCAATAGTTGCTGATTTTGCTTTGGCAACCATACCATCCGAGAAGGACATGCGCCTTCTGAATGCAGGTCTGTTCCTTGACCGTGGACTGGGGCTGTCCCCATGTGCAGTCTTTAAACTTGATCAACTCCACTTTCAGAAAATTCCTCAAATGCAGGTTAAGTCCTCCATGGCTTCCTTTGTTTACCCTGCTGTATTTATTATGTCGGGTAGTACTTTTGTTTAATTGTTCATCTCTTTCACCATATGTGCTTCTATGAGGCGAAAGCAGTTTGTTTTATTCTGCTTTGTAAAGGTTGAATCATTCTTGTATCTGTGCCACCTAGCATGGTGCCTGGCACACAGAAAAAGCTCAAGAGGTATGGTTGAATGCATATTTAAATGAATGAATAAATTAATGAGTGTGTGAGGTCAATGAAAATTCTCTCAAGAGCGGTAGATAGAAAAATTAGCAGTTACACTTACAAGGTGTTGAGAAGCTAATTTTAATGTGGCTTTCTGTAGGAAAAACCAAGTGGTGACCTCAATTCTACTTGTTGGTCATTGCAAAATAGGCAGACTTGGGGTCATTTGAAGGGTATTTGCAGATTGGCCCTTTTGAGGTAGCTGGACCGTATTTGTCAAAGTACTGAAAGGGCTCAAGGACCCCAGATCAAAAGATGTGGATCTGTCTGGCTCTGCCTTTTCCTAGGTGAACAACCTCAAACAACTCAGTTCCTGAGCCTCAGCTGCTCACCAGGAAAATGTGTCTATGATGCTGAGGAGCTTCCTAAGTGAGCTACTGTGTGCACCAAGCTTTGAGTGAAGCCCAAGGCTCAGTCTGGTGCCCAGGAGGGCTCTCACTACTCCCTGGTGCAGACAGCATCAGCACTACCACGCCAGAGCCATCACCTCTGCTCTCCATACCTGTCCAGGGCATCCCTTGGCTCGCCTCTTCCTTCTTGTCCACAGTAACAGCCATAAGACTCAAATTCCTCCGGGCACCGGGACGTCAGACAAAAAAGCATCTCTCCAAACTGTGGCATCACCTGCATGTTGTCCCCACTTCCCAGGTGCAGGAAGGTGAATCTGTCACAGGCTGAAAGGAACAGGAATTGTCAGGAGAGCAAGGAGCGTCAGGGCAGCCGTCGCAAGAGGAAGGCCATGTGAGCTTCCACGTTGTATGTGGACAATTCTAGGTCACGCGAGAAAACCCCATGTCCTACTGCTTGGCTAGCCATTCTTCTGGGAAAGCTGTTATGGCTCATCCCCTGCTCGGATGCATTATATTTCAGAGAGCAAGTCTTTTCTCTCTAGGCTTCTAATGCTCTATGAGACTCCTTATTAAATCCCCCCATGGGATGGAGACTTGTCAGGATCCGAAGTGCTTTTTGGGGCCATGTCTTATTACTGAATAGACCTGGCATCCTGGGAGTGTCCTGGCTGAACTCTGAGGCTTTCTGGTGGCATCAGGTTAGCACACCTGGCCAGGCTTGCGTTTCTTTCCTTTGCCTCTCCAGCTGCCCACACCCATCTCTTTCTCTGTCTCTATTTCTCCTGCTTCCACCCTTCCTCCTCTGTCCACAAATCTCAAATGCAGCTTTCTCCATAGCTCTGCATTGGACACCATGGAGTACATACCCATATATTAACAAAGCCCCTCCTCTGTGTGCCCAACAAGCTCTGGCTCCTTACAGGTGTAGGGCCTTTTTTAAGGCATCAGAGGGAAGAGAGACAAAGGGGGAAGATGATCAAAACCAAAGTGCTTCATTCTTTCCAATAAATCAGGATGTGGACAATGCCAAGCTGTTTCCCTCTGGGTCAGTAAGAGTGGTGGCAGCATGAGGTCAGGAGCTCAGAAGACTGTGGCTCCTCCCCCAGGCTCAGCCTCCCAGTGTCTGAGTGACTACAGGCAGCTTACATCTCCTCTGAGCCTCAACGTGCTCTTCCAGTCAGTAGAAAATGATGTCTTCTAGTTACACCCCCATGAGAAGGTCACAGTGTGAAAAGGCGGCCCACGGTGATTGTTCACAGCCTAACCAAAAGATCCCAGCAGTGGAGAGGACGGACACTGCTTCCGCTCACCTTTTTCAGTTGTCTCCTCCGGACCATTTTCAACAGATGACACTGCCAGCCCCAGAGATTGAATGCCAGCAGGGACAAGGGTTACAACTTTAGCTGTAACCCTTGTTGCCACTATCTCTGCAGATCCTGAAAATGAAAAACTTCATGGTTCAGATTCAAAAAGTGGCTAAAGCAGAGATTTGCATATGGACACACCAAAGCCAAATGCAAACAGAACACCAAAGCGTTAGGAGAAGTTCCCTCAAACTGGGTTTGCAGCTATCTAGGCAGATTCTTAGGGATCCATGAATTCTACATGAGAATTTGCAAATTTTCTACAATAACCTTAACACCATTAGGAGCCTGTGCTAGACCACCTGGATGGCATTCCAGGGATGAGGACTGCCGAGGCCCCCAGGCTCGTGTTTGTGTTACGTTTGCTATCCATGCCTGCTCAGTGAAGGGCCTTTATGGTGCTCACAGCAAGTGAAGAGGTAAAGAAACTGGTGGAGAAATTAAGGCAACTCATAGTACACAGCAAGGTAGGCAAGCCAAACAACTCCTGGAACCCCCTATTTCTTTGTTCAACTGCAGCAACAGCTTCTCATTATTTGCAGAATTCAGTGCAAGGTCCTTCCTGTGGCCTGCAAGCCTTACCTGTGACATGGCCCTACCTTCCTCACCATCACATCTCTTGCCTTCTGCCTGGTACTCTCTCTGGATCTCCCTTTGCTCTGATGTGTCAGTCTCACCTGCCCTTTTAGCTGGAGGCAGCAAAGTCTCCCACCCACAGGACAAATCTCCAGCCTTCCCAGTACAGGGAACAGCGGCAGGCTCAGCCCCACCAATCTGCTGACCTACACTCAGTTCCCAGAGTATTGGGTAAGGTCTGGCATCTTTGTGCTCACTGGATTGCAGTATTTCGCCAAATTCACTGTATTGGTTTGCTTTGTGCATCTGGTCATCTACCTCCTCTTACTCCAGCTCCTATGAGACTAAAGCCCTGTTGCAATCTCTGTCTCCTAGGTTTAGCATCCTGCCCAGTTCTCCAATCCCACAAATAGAAGCAAGTTACCTAGTTTCTATCATGTTCCTGACTGCTGGAAACTCACCTAGTCAGTGTAGTAGAGTGGAAAGACTTCATGAGTTAGCATTAAAGAGGGGTGAGTTTGGGTTTTAGCTTAGCTACATACAGATGATAACCCCAGGCAAATTTTACCTCTCTAAATCTTAATTTCTCCATTTGTAAAATTATACTAATATTACCTCTTTTAGTATTTGAATAATCCTTCTAGTTAATGTCTAGCAATTAGGAAATCGTCAGTAGTAGCTATCAGAACTGCTCAGTGAATGAGAAAATAGTCATACATCTAATCCAGGGTTAAGACCCTCCATGTGGAATGTTCTACAAGCCAAAGGACCTCCCATGCTCAGTGAATGAGAAAATAGCCATACGTCTAATCCGGGGTTAAGAGTCTCCATCTGGAATGTTCTATAAGCCAAAGGACCTCCCAGAGCCCAGTGTCTGCTCTCTGTTGAGTCTGAATAGCCAGTAGCCCTCCTGAGGAAGAACTTTCTTGATTATTGGTGCCAATCTAACTTGAGATCCCCTCACTTTATTTAGAGCAGGGCACTTGGTGTTAATCACCCTGCCTGGGCCAACTGCCCCACTGGGAAATAAATGCCTCTGATTCTTGCCCCTCTCACCTCCCATGCTGACTACTCACACTGCATCTCATCTGGAATCCAGTTGATGTCATAAATGCTTCAAGGACAATGACATGAACATAGGCAGGCAGAGCCCAGTGTGCTTACCTGGAGGGGATGTAGCCCTAGCAGCTTCCACGCCTTCCTGATCGTGGCCTGCCTCTGTTCCCCAAAGAAGAGAGACAGGGTGAGCATCCACCCCAGGCCGTCCCACCTGGGTTTCCAGAAGCGCTTCCCACCCATTGCACACAGGCAGGTGGCCATGTGCTCTTCACTCTGCCCCTGGCCCACCTCCCACCATGAGATTTTCTGGAAGAGCTGGTGAGAGCAGGGCTGCTGCTGAGCCAGAAGGAACCCCCCAGATACAGGCTTGCTGGCAAATGCAGCCGCAGCTTGTCAGGCTGGAAGCAGGTGAGTCGGTTCAAATACTTTGGGAATTACAGCTTCTTTAGAATTTAAGGGAAAAAAAAACTAAAAGTAAAGTGCATTTTGGAACAGAGGAGCATTGCCGTACAGAGACAGCAGATTGCGTGGTTGAGGTTGTTTGCTATGTGACTCCAGGAAAACCACTGATCCTCAGTTTCTCTGTAAACCGAATTTGTTGTTACCATTATTTGACAGTGATCAAGCTCCTACTCCATGCTGGGTAAGGCAGCAAGGGCTTTTTGAATTAACTTACTACAACCCCTTGAGTTGGCTCTATGCTTACCCTTATTCAGAGATGAGAAAGGAAACACACAGAAAAGTTAGGTTCCTTTTCTAAGGTCCCAGAGCTAGGAGGTGGCTGCAAACCCAGGCAGCCTGGTTGAAGTTTGTATGCTTAACCACTAGGCAAGACTACTATTTCACTTCTGGCCGTGCCACAAGAAAATGCTGGAGATGCTGACAAAAAGTTATGTGGAAGGACAGAAACTGCCTTAAGTTGTATGTGCTCGAAGATCAAGACTATGCTGGTGTTCTCTGAAAACCTGGCTTTCAAGTTGACTGATACGGACACAAATGCGCCATTAAAGAGGGAGATTCTGGACCATTCTAAACCGGGACAGATTGTTCTATTCAAAAGCAAAACCTAGAGACTCAGAACAAAAGGACTACCAAGCTGAACCACCCTGGGCAAATGACTCTACCTCTCAGAGCTTCTTGTTTATCTGTCAAATGGGGATAGGCCTCCAAGGACCAGGGAAGACTAACTCAGAGGATGTTTGTGAGGGGCCTGGGAATGATATGCTGACACATCAGAGTCCCTCAACAAGGTCACTGCCTGTTAACCAAAGAATCCACTTTCTTACTTATTCATTCTAAGTAATTGGTAAATAATTACCATCTATGTGTGCTTGTTAATAAAGGATCCATGGTTATTTACACAAACAGAGTAAATGGTTAGGTTAACTCTGCTGATGAAATTTTGCCCTAGGTATTTCTAGGTGAGGCAGTGTTCTCTATGAGCCACTATTGTATAAAGGAAAGGAAACAGTTTTACAGCCTGAAGTCTGGGATCAGAGAACAGTCCACCAAGTTACTTGCTTGCAAATTTTACTCTCCCTGAGCCTCAGCTTCCTACATATTCTGTAAAATGGGTATAACAATATTTCTTTCAGGTTCCTCTGAGAAGTGATCACAGGACTGAGCACAGATATTTAGATATTTGAAATATTTGTCCACTGGACTCCAGGCTGTCCTTTTCCAAATTCCTTCTGCTTACTTGTCTTTGAGAGTGTGGTCAGTCTGTCAGCTTCAGTCTCTGCAGCCACTGTGAAGAGAAATCACCCGACTTCAATGCTTGATCTAGCTGGGTGCCAAAGTCAAACAGAGGAAACAGATTTGGGAGCAAAGGATGGAAGAGAGGAGGCTTAGGGTGATCTGATCAGGGAATACGGCTGCACCGTGGTGTTCAGCAAGGTCTCAATTCAGTAGAAAACGGACTAGACTAGAGCCAGGCCTGTGTTTAGGCACAAAGACTGGCAAATGCAACCTTCGGGGGTGAAGGGCCATTGTTTCCCCTCGGTTCGCCTGTGGGAAGGCAGCTTAAGAGAGCATTTAGTCTGGAAGGAAAAAGCCTCTCATCACAGCTCTGCCACTCAGCTCTGCATCTTAGACAATTCATCTCTGAATCTCAATAGCCTGTCTTAAAACGGAGGCTGTAGCAATTATTCCATAGCGTTGTATGAGCATTAAATGAGATTATGTATCTTAAGCAAGCTGTCCAGTATCCAGCCTATGATTTGATAGTGTGTGCTGTTTTTTATAGCCACACCTGCGAGAAGATACTGGTCTAGAATCTCCCCATGCTCACTCTCATTTAATCCTTATGCCACCCTAAAGATAGATGTGATTATCCCCTTTCAGGGATTAGTAAATGATGGACCAGCTCTCAGCCTGTTTTGTAAATAAAGTTTTATTGGAACACAGCCACTCGTGTTAATTTAGGGGCTGTCTGTGCCTGCTTTTGTGCTACAGTAGCAGAGTTGAGCAACTGTGATAGAGACCCTATGGCTCACAAAGCCTGAAATATTAACTAAGGTAGTTTGGATCTGTGTCCCCACCCAAATCTCATGTTGAAATGTCATCTCCAATGTTGGAGGCGGGGCCTGATAGGAAGTGATTGGATCCTGGGGGCGAATTTCTCACGAATAGTTTAACACCGTTCTCTTGGTGCTGTTCTCATGACCGGGAGTTCTTGCAAGATCTGGTTGTTTAAAAGTGTGTAGCACCTCCCCACTCTCATTGTGTGTTTTTGGGTTCCACGCCAGCCCCCTTTGGCTCACCTTCTCCTGAAAGTGCTGTCAGGCCGCTGTCTGTGGTCTCCACAGGAACCACTGGGAGAAGAGAGCTCTGAATAGCAGTGACTAATGCAACACAGTGTCAAAACCAAGCACAGGGTCTCAAAGGAGAACTGACTCAGTCTCAAAGGAGACAGGATTGCTGACCCAAGGGGAAAGGTGCTGAGAAAGCAGTTGCTAAGAACTGTTCATCCTGTCTTAGGAGTCCCTTGCCTCTGTTGCTCCTTCCAGAACATAGGGTGCCCTGCAAGATCCCAGGTCAGGAGGGGGCACAGCCACTGCTGGGCTCAGGTCCAGATCCTGGCTGAGGGCAATGAAAGATCTCAAAACCCCAAAGGTATCCCAGCTTGAGGAGACTTCTGTTCCAAAGGGAGCCACAGTGGCTGAGAATAAAAAGACCGCTGGACTCAGAAGATACAGAGATCTGACAGGCACATATGCACACAGCCATACACGCTCATGCACGTGCACTCACACTCATGCACATGTACATGAGGTGTATCTCGGACTTCTCATCCCCAGGTGCCAAAAGGTGTTGGGACTGAGAGATCATGGAAACTGGTGAACAAGGAGAGGCAGGCATAAACATGAATCCCGTTTTTGGCAAGATCCATATTTTGGATTAGGAATCATCACTTGCTTAGTTCAGCGTACAGTTAGTAAGAGCCTGCCCTGTTCTGAAAAGAGACATGTGAAAAGCGGCGTCCTCTTCAAAGGGCCTCTGTTGGAGCCAAGCTGCGGGCTCTGGAGAGTGCATGGTGAAAGGGGGGAAGGGAGAGGAGAGGCAATGGGTGTGCCCCTGGGAGACTGCGGCGGCCGGGAGCTTACTTAGCGAGGAGGGACCTCACTCCACTGAGCACTACGTCTTGTCCCAGTCACGCTACATACCAGGGCTCTGACTCTAGAGTGAGAAAGGGCAGAGAATGAACTTGGGGTCTACATCCACAGTGAATTGAATTCACACCTGTCCACAAAGCTTAGGGCTGAGTTTGCACTAGAGTCATTTGCCATTGGGCATTTGAATTGAGTTTATCAGAAGTAACACATCTCCCAGCCAGGGAAGCTAGGGCCACATCCAGTGTCACGGTCACTCCAGCTCCGGCAAGGTAGGCCTGGTGGAGGAGGTGTATCCACAGGCTCCCAACAGCATCTGGGCCCTTGTGGTTCAGGAGGCAGCATCCCTGGGAGGCCTTACCTTTGGGCAGAAGTGTTGTCAGCTCTTCCTTGACGGTTGTCTCTGAAAACACACACACACACACACACACACACACACACACACACACACACACACACTGGCAAGTCTGTTGCGAGCAGTGGGTGTGAGGGAAAATTTGAAGATGCCGGACTTGGCATCTAGAGACATGCAGCAATGATTGGTCCCAAACCAGCTCCAGTCCAGACCCTCATCCCCATGGCTGATGCAGCCAGGTTCTTCCTACCTGGAGTCTGAGCCAGGCAGAAGGAGGTGTCCAGAAGGTTCAGGGAAGAGTTGAGGCTGGACCGAGCCAAGCACTCTATGGCAGCCTTGTCACAGGTACACAGCAGGTGCTCACAGTGGTCCTTGGACTCTGCACAGAGCAAGGCACAGCCGGCTGGAAAGATCTCACTTCGATCTCAAGAGGTAATGCAAGCTCCAAGGCTGAGTTCTCCATCTCCCCTGCCAAAAACCCACTCCCCTTGCAATGTCCATCTCATTCATGTCAGCTCTATCTCTTCAGCTGTGTGGACCCAAACCAGGCCCGTACCCACGCTTCCCCTCCCACACTTGCACCCAGTGAAGCGAGCAATTCTATTGGCTCCACTTTCAACATGGAGTCTGACCACATTGCCACACCTCCAATCTACCGCACTGGGCTGACTCCCTGTGGTCCCATCCGTGGTTATGTCAGTGGCCTCCCCACTACCCCGCCTGCTTCTGCCCTGCTGCCCAATCTACTCTCATCCAGGAGTCAGAGCAATCCTTTAGAAACTTAGGTCCAACCATGCCTTTATTCTGTGCAGAACCTTCCAGCATCTTCCCACCTCAACCTACATGTCTCACTGTCACCTAGGAAAAGTCACATGATTGGTCTCCCCACCCACAGTCCCTGTTCCTTCTCAGATCGCAAACTCTTCCACTCCCTCCTAATCACCCCATTTGTGTCTCACTGCTCCCTTATTTCTCAATCACACCCGGCATCTCAAGCCTCAGGGCCCATCCATGAGCTATTCCTTCTGTCTGCTTTGCTCCTCTCCCAGATACCAGCAAGGACCACTTCCTGCCCATTCTTTAAGTCTCCCTCAACTCCCATTGTCTCAGGGAGGCTTTTCTTGACCTTCCCATTTAAAGAGAATCCCCCCACCTCCCTCCACAGGCCTTTCCCCTGATTCATTTTCCTCCAGAGCTCTTGCCCTCTCTAACATACTATACAATTTGTTTTGGGTATCTTCAGTGTCTGACAATGGTGAGGATATTCCAGAAGGTCAGGCTATCCCCAGCACAGATGACCATCTTGCACTGGTGTAGGTGCACAATACATATATGTTGGGTGGACGAATGAATCATGTTTTCCAGGTTCAATGTGCCTCCCACCTGCTGGGTCACATCCACCTCTTCCCATCAATGCCTCCTTCGTGCTCCATACTCCAGCCAGTCCATGTTATACAGACTTGAGTGTTAGTCGGATCTTGGTTCAAACCCCGGCTTTGCCCCTTTGCAGCTGTGTAACTTTGGGCAAGTTATTTAATCTGTAAACAATGGCCCCCATCTAATGGGGTTATAAGGAAGATCAGAGTTTCTGTGTATAAGCCTGTGGCATGTAATAGACACAAATAAACACACATAAAGTATGGCTCTAACATAGGACCCCCTACATGCTGTGTTCTGTCTTTACCCCATGCCTTTGCCTATTCCACCTCTGCCAGGGTTGTCTAGAGACATGAAATAAAATTCCTGGTGTCACACAGTAAACAAGGTGGGAGCTGAAACTTGAACCTATGTTTCTGATTCTTACAACCACCAATGCAAGCCTTATTCACACGTCACTACTTCCACCCTCACGTCCATCTCTGAGTTCTTAACATATGCCAGTCCCTGTGCTAACCATGTCACAAGCATTGTGTAATTCACTTTTCATAACAAATCTCTGAAGTAGGTTGCTTCTTCCTCTTTTGAGGGTCAGAGGAGTTAAGTGATTGCCTCAGTGTTGCACATTGTGTAAGTAGCAAACAATTTGCCCTTCTCAAGATCTCAGGGTTGTACACGTATAAAATCACAAATCAAATAATTTGCTGATCAGCTATGATTTCAACTCAAAAACATTATTATACATCTACTCCATGCAGGATACAAAGGTCATCAATCCAGCCCCCTTGGGTCTCTAAGTGCTGCCAATGGTGATGACGATGTGGAAGGGCCTCAATGCCCTCAGCCTGGTCCAGGTTGGGGCTCTGTACTGTCATTTCTGGGTTCAGGCCCTCGGGACACCTGGAGATGCTTACCACACGTGATCTTCTTCCCGACACAATCGACGTCTGTGCTAAGCTTGGCAGGGTCTTGGAGACAGTCCATTTCAGCGGCCTCCTCATAGCACCTGCGGTGCTGGAAGCAGCAGCTGCAGGAAGGTGGACAGGAGGCAGGACGAGAGTGTGGGTTACAGGGAGGGCAGGCAGCTCAAGATCTTTCTGTGTCTCTGGACGTTTCCTGACAGCGGTCTGTTTTTATTTATTTATTTATTTGAACATAAACTCAAGATTTTATTGTCTTCATAAAAGAAACAATGGCACTTAGAACAGGATCACTTGGCCCTGTCTCTTCATATCTCCTCCCAGTTCAAAATGCTTGCATCTTTTAACAGCTGATATTCTCTTGGATCTGCAGTTGGGCTCAACGCACTCAGCACATGCATGTATGGGCACACGCACACACACACACACACACACACACACACACACTCACTTTCCTATCTGCCATCTTACAAGCTTCAGATTGCCCCTGCCCAGGCTATGGCCGTTTGCTGGTTGCAAACTGGTCCTGGATCTCAGCCTAAGGACTTAGTAGGAAGGTGGCCCAGCAGAAGGTAAAATGAGGCATGTCCTGGTCCTCATCTAGACACTAAATCCTTGGCCTCTCCTTGGGTCACTGCTCACCATTACTGACCACATCCATTTGTGCAGCCAACCAGTGTCCTAAATATCAGCTGCCAGTCTACATGAATTTTCCTCCTGCCTGGCCTTGTGAAGTAGCTGACTTCCTGTCCCATCCCTGTTTGCTGGTGGTGGGAGGTGCACCTCTATCACTTGCTTGAACTGACCAGTGAAGGAGAGACCAATGCCCTTTTAGAGGCCAACAACTTTAAATAAAGTGACCCTTAAGCCGTCAGGATCAAGGTTATAGACCTAAGCAACTACGCTGGAAACAGAAAGGAGAAGTGGATCATCAGCAAGACAGGCCTTTACACCATTCCGCATGTGAACCCCTGTCTGCCTGCAATGCACAAGGGAGCTTAATGGAACAGGTGGCGTCTGCATTTAAAAGTAATCTACATCTTCTTGTGTCCAGGAGAGGTGTCTGAAATGGCCATTTATGGCCAACAGAGAGAGGATAAAGATCAACCCACATGTTCTTGAGGTGACGAAACTGATCAAATATTAAGTCATGAGCTGGACCCAATCTCTTAGAAGTCAGGCAAGAATTTTGCATAGAACAGCTTGGATTATCTCAGACAACATTATTAAAAAGAATACAAAGGGCAGCACTGTGGTGTGAATGAGCAACCTTTCCCACAACTGCGTAGAATAGAACTTTGGGGCCCAGAGGGGGTGAGTGACTTCTACAAAGTCACACAGCAAATTAGTGGCAGAGTCCCAAATCAAGGGCCTGATTTGGCAGAGTATCTACTATGTGTCAGGCCTCTAGCAAGGTGTGGACATGGACACAGCATATGGTTGGGGAAAATATTCAGCTGTTTACATACAGAAGGAAGTCAGAGCTAGGCAAAGGTGAGAACCAGTGAAGTCTACATTCTTTGCCAAGCATTGGTTGTAAATGGAGAACTGTACTGGCTTGAGGAGAGTGCTGGAGGCTCCCCAGTGTTGTTGTATTCATGGGGAATTCAACAATATCTCAGACCGGCCAAGGAAGGAGGGCCGTGGCCGGAATATGACCCTGGGCTAGGGAGGAAGCCTCTCCCTCCAGTGCTGTAAAGGGAAGAGTTGTGAATATCCACTGCCCTTACCTTACCCAGGCAGCACCCTGAGAGGACCTGAATCCTGGCGCTATCAACTGCCAGTGACTTGTCTTGAGCAAGTTACTTATCTCTTTTCAAAAGAACATTATGAGATATTCATTCCCATTTACCAATGAGGAAGCTGAGTCTTGGCAGATGTTCCCTGATAAAAGTTCGGACTTTTGAGCTTAGCTCCATGGACTGTTTTAACCACTTCACATTTAATGCTCATAACAATGCTATGAGTGAAGTGGTGTTATCCTTATTTGATAGATGAGGAGGCAGAAGCCCAGAGAGGTCAAGCAACTTGCTCAAGGCCTGCACAGCTTCTTAAAGACAGAGCTGGAGTTTGCAGTCTGGCAGTGGTGCTCAGGAGCCTAGCTTTTAAACACTGCCTTTCCAAAGGCAGCATGTAAGATGGGCTAGAAGACAGCGCTACTGATCTCCATAGTCTGTGCTCCATCTGCTGCTTCAACTTGCCTCCCAGCAAGCCTTAAAGAGGCTTCGTTTTTGCTTGAGTGTGAACGGTCATGCCCCTGGAATGGTACTCTCCTGCCTGGAGATTGGTGCAGGAAACAGACATGGGAGGCTGAGGATGGGGAGGCTGGGGGTCTGAGGTTTATGGGCAGAGCATCTTCCCAGGGATGACAGGCAAGGCCTTGGAGGAAATGGGGACTGAGCCTGCTGTGAATGAAAAGCCTCAGGTCTGGGGTCCAAACAGGATCTCAATATTAGGCCTGGGGGAGAAGTTAGGCAGGGCTTTGTTCTGGTAGGTGAGGCAGGAGTCCAGGAAACTGTAAGGGGAACTGCAGGGTAAAGTGGGACCTGAAATGGGCTGGCAAGGGAGCTCCTGAAATCGGAAAGTTTAATTTCCCCTTCTTCAACAGGAATAACAATAATTCTGATGATTGCTTTTGTTATAGCAGGTGAGTTGAGTGCATTTGCTGAGTGTAACTATGTGGTGGCCTCTGTTTTAAGTGGTTTAAAGCATCAACTCAGTTAGCTCCCACATGGATCCCATGCAGCAGCTGCATCTATTACTATGTGCATTTACATAGGTGGATACAGACACAGAGGCTCTATATCTTGCCCAAGGTCAAATTTGGCCAAAGAGCAAGCTGCACCAAGTGTGGGAGGTCATGTGGCTCTGGCAGTGCACACAGGAGGTCAGTGGGGACCGACAGAAAGAAGAAAAAATATGCAGGCAGCTGATGACCTTGGGTAAGCTACTAAATATCTCACACTGTCCAACTCAGAAGGATTTTCTAGATTTAGGAAAACATCTGTGTAGACTCTGCCGTGCAGTGGGCACTCAATAACTGGCAGCAGTTACTTTGGAATCTGTTGTGCAAGTTCAGGGTGGAAATAACCTGTCTTCCAGGAGTTTGGAAATCCCCGCCTCCATCAACCGAACTGTGTAAAGTAACTGAAACTGAGTGCAACCCACCATTCACTAATTTGGGGACAGCGGTACTTCAATCATTTCTTTTAGGTTGGAAACAGTAATGAATAACTGCTTCATTTCTAGTTTACAAGGTGTTCTAATAATTAAAGAAAGGACCTGAAAGGAAAAGATGTTTCCAGAAAGAGCCCTGACCCCACATGCCATAAAGAATCAGCCTCTCCCTTTCTGAATGTCAACGAGCTAATAATTCCTACAATGGGAAACTGTCCTTTTGGTCCAAGGCAATTCGCATGCTCTCTTGCAGGTCTGAAGGTGGGAGAGATTTGTTGTTTAATTCAAAAGACAGTATTCTTTGTCAACCAAGGATATATCACTTTTTAATTAATTTGCTTGTTTTTAATTTCAGAAGAGCAATTAGAAGTTCACCACCTAGTCAATTAGTTAATTTGTTGCGTTGCTGCTAAGTGCAACGTGCTATAGTCAGTGCTGGGAGTACAAAGCGGTAACACAGTACGGACCCTCCGCAGAGGACGCTGAGCAGATCAGGGAGACAGACCCTGGGCAAGCAGCTTCCCCTGCGTGGTAGGTGCAAGAAAGAGATGCACAGATGTTTAGGGAGCACAGAGATTGTACTGTTGCTGAGGGGTCAAGAAATACAGAGGCTGTCCTAGAGGAGAAATGTCAGGGCAGATATGAGATACCTGATATACTGCAAAGAGGATCCCTTCCCTACCTTCTGTGAGCCTGTGCAGATGAAAGCACGTACTCCACTGGGCTGGATTTGGGCACAGGTGATTCCCATGGGGTGGGGCATGGTTCACGGAGGAGAGGTGAGACCTGGGTTCACATTCCCACTTCCGTACTACTACTCCTGCGGCTGCTACTGTTACTATGGCTACAGCTGCTATTATTATTACTGCTAGCTTACTATTAGGCTGGCGCAAATGTAATTGTGGTTTTGCCACTGAAAGTAATTGTGTAACTGCATAATATTGAAAGTAATTGCATAATTGCACAAACCACAATTACATTTGCACAAACTTAATAGTAAAATAGCACTACTAGAATAATACCGGTAAAATACTACTGCCACTGTTGCTATTCTTACTGCAACTACTACTGTGATTATTAATACTCCTATAGCTACACTGCTTCTCTAGTATGACTGTTGTTCCTATGACTACCACTACCACTGTTACAGCCCTAAAACTACTATTACTACTGCTGCTACTGCTCCTGTTACTTCTGCTACCAATCACTAGTACTCCTGAATAAGTACCAGGCCAGATAGGGTCCCAAGTACTTTAATTTGAATTTGCTCATTTAATCCTAGATAATAATCCTATGACATAGATATCATGGCTACCATTTTATAGATGAAGAAACTGGATCACAGAGAAGTTGAACACCTTGCCTACAATCACAAAGTAAACAAGGAACATAGGATTGGGACCACTGGGTCATGGGTCATGGGTCTTGAGTCTTAACACTTTAACAGATAGTGACAAATATCCCTAATGGCCGAGTGACACAGTTGATCCTCCTGTCACCAGGTCCCGCTTGCCATGTCCTTGCTAACACTTAATGCTTCCAGGTTTTGAATTGTCATTCTGATCGTTTAAGGTTGATGTCTTATTTTAATTTGCATTTTCCTTGTGCACAGGAAGGGAGTATATCTTTACTGGTCACTCACAATTCCCTAGAGTCCCCACCATGCATTTACCTCTTTTTTTTTTTGAGGTGGAGTCTCGCACTGTTGCCTGGGCTGGAGTGCAGTGGGGTGATCTCTGCTCACTGCAACCTCCATCTCCCAGGTTCAAGTGATTCTCCTGCCTCAGTCTCCTGAGTAGCTGGGATCACAGGCACATGCCACCACACCCAGATAAATTTTTTGCATTTTTAGTACAGACAGGGTTTCACTATGTTGGCCAGGCTGGTCTGAAACTCCTGACCTCATCATCCACCCACCTCGGCCTCCGAAAGTGCTGGGATTACAGGCATGAGCCACCACACCCAGCTGCATTTACCTCTTTAGGCAAGGATGGTGTTCTGTTTGTCTGAAGCACAGTGTTCATATGTTATTGATATTTGACTCATGTTTGTGAAATTGAATAGAAACCTTCATAGTAGTTTTATCCCTGCTGGCTAGGCCTGCTCTGAATAAGAAGTAATTCTCAAATTGTATTATGCAGCGAGTCATCTGGAGAACTTGTTTAAAACTCAGACTTCCAGGTTCCACCTAAAGATATTTTGAGTCAACAGCTCAGGGGTCCCAGGAATCTGCATTTTAACAAACATCCTGGTGGACTGGTGGACGCAAACTTGAGAAACCCTAAAACGAAGTTTTGCTCATCAGACGCGGCATAGGATCTTAATAACTTTCTAGAGTGAGATCTGATCACGGGTGATGTTGCCATGTAAAGATGAAGCGAACAGTCACCCAACTAGTAGGCAGTGGAATTAAACCCTCTCCTGAGTCCCAAGTCCAGGGGCTTTTCTGTATTTGTGCTCTTGTCAAGGTATCAGCCAGGCCTCCCAAGAGCTCATCTTTGGGTCTTGCTTACTTGCAGAGCTCACGTACCTGTCGGATTCGTCCACAGGCCACCCTTCCATCTCAAACCTGCAGGCGCAACCATAGTCGTCAAAGTCTCGGGGGCAGAGACCAGCCACACACTTCATACCATGCACGAACTGGAGCAGCACCGGGAAATTGGTGAAGACAGCCTGCAGCCAGGTGAAGTGGGAGCCCAGGCAATCTGTGGGGTGGGGGACAGGGCCTGATGAGCACTGGGAACCAGGTCTACGAGGGAGTCCCCGTCCCCTGCACTTCCTATACCTCAGGCTGGTGGTGCTTTATCAACCTAGTAAGCACCTACCGTGTACTAAGACTCTTTTAGACTAAGCCTTTATCCCTGCCAGTTTCCTATTTAACAGTCATTTATCCCTTCTTCCTTACTAACAAAACTGCAACGTTATTAAGGAAGATAAGCCTTTTCCCTAAATTCCTGACGGTATTTCACAATCATTCTCAGCTGGTCATGGTAATCCCATGTTTCCAACTGAATGGTCTATGCATGCGACCCAGGTTTGGCCAAAAAACCTTAAGGGAAAATCTGTAAGTGTCTTCTGGAAACTATTTCTTTTCTGATAAAGAATGAAGTCATGTAGGAAGATCCCTTTAATCCACACCTTTTTTTTCTTCCTTGAATGTGGATGAGGATGTGTCAGCTGGAGCTGCAACCACCACAGTATAATGAGGAGGCCCCAGGTCTAAAGCTGGAAAACCGAGATGCTCGGGACAGCGGAGAAGCAAGGTAGAAGGAGCCTGCTGGGTCCTGGATTCCTGTGCTGAGCTGCCGCATGCGTCCTGGTGCCTTCACACCACTGGAGATAGTTAAATGTCTTTATTTATTCTTGTTGTTGCTATTTCTTTTTAAAAACTCAACTTTTATTATAGATTAAAGGGCACAAATGCAGGTTTGTCACATGGGTAAACTGTTTGACACCACGGCTCAGCGTTGCCGCAATCCCCTCACCGAGGCAGCAAGCACAGTACCCAGCAGCGGGCGTTTCAGCCTCTCACTGCCTCCCTCCCTCCCTGTCTAGCGGCCCCCAGCATCTATTGTTTCCGTCTTTACGTTCGTGTGTACTTAATGCTTAGCTCCCACTTATAAGTGAGAATATGTGGTATTTGTATTTCTGTTCTTGCATTAGGTCACTTAGGATAATGACCCTTCAACTCCTTCCCCGCAAAATGCAAATCCAAACCACAATGAGACACCACCTCACACCAGTCAAAATGGTGATTATTAAAAAATCAAAAAACAACAGATGCTGGCGAGGCTGCGGAGAAAAGAGATTGCTTCTACACTGGTTGGTGGGAATGCAAATGAGTTCAGCTACTGTGGAAAGCAATTCAGAGATTTCTCAAATAACCTAAAATAGAACTATTATTTGACCCAGGAATTCCACCACTGGGTACATACCTAAAGCAAAATAATTCATTCTGTCAAAAAGACACTTGCATCCGTATGTTTATTGCAGCACCATTCGTGATTGCAAAGACACAGAATCAACCTAGCTTCTCAACAACAGTGGATTGGATAAAGAAAACGTGGTACAAATGTTTGCATTACAGGTATTGATCGACTTACGACCTATGCAACTTAACCATTCGACTTTACGACCACAATTGCTAGCCACGACTGCTCCGCATCTGGTAGCACAAACGTTGCCCAGCTGGGCATACGACAGTGCGGACCAGCTTCTGGCAGCACTACCATCTCCACGTGCACCATTTCAACTGTACATATAGCCTACTCAACTTACGACCAAATCGTATTATGACCGGTCTGCGGTCCCGTCCGTGGTCATAAGTCGAGCACTAGCTGTATTTGAGTCACTATTACTTTCCTGAAGGGATCCAAACGATATGGTGCTGACACTATACAACTAGAAGCCAGTATGGGAAGAAATGTGGTACAGACATTCACAACTTTTGAGCACCCGTTAGGTGCCAGAAGCTGCACTAGGTGCTTTCACTAGCGCAGTAAATAGTTCAGCCTGACGAAGTGTGCAGTGCCTTGGAAAGCATTTGCTTTGTGTGTCGTCCCACAGGCCTCCTGCTAACTCTGCAAGGCAGATGTTTCCTGTCATCACCAATTCACAGTAAATAAACTTGCTTTACATTTCACAGTAAAGAAGCTGACAGCTGAAGACATGTCCAAAGCATCATCCAGGGATAATGACTTGCCCTAAAGTATACAGCAAACGAAATTGGCAAGAAAACCATATCAAGTGTTTCCGACTCTAAATTTCCCATTCTCCCTCCCCATCCCACATCTTTCTAACTAAAAGATCCTCAGGTGCTGCGTGAGTGACCCCTCACTACTGAGTTAACATGCACGGGGTCACAGGACAGGGCTGAAGGGGAACAGGAGTAATTTGTGAGGACCAGTTCCACCTCCTACTCCACCCCATTCAAACCTCCTTTCCCATGTTTTGTACCCACAAGGCCTAATCAGGAAAATAAAGACAGAATTCTCTGCTGATTGAAAAAGCAACTCTAAGCTGTATGCATGTGGGTATTTATGCAAATACGCCTTGTCATTCAGAAACTTACAGGGCACCTGCACTTGGTTATACAAACAGTTTAAGCGCAGACTTATGCGTAGCATGGCCCAACCCAAAAGCAATTCTGAGTGTCTTTGTTCAGGTCAATCATATCACAGTCTTATTTTTTTGGTACTTTTAGTAGTTGATGATAGGAGCCATAATAGTGTCCTGATAGTCACATAACAGATTTTCAATTGATAAATGGGATATGTGACACACTTTGACATTCTTTTTCTTTTTTTCTTTTTTTTTTTTTTCTTTTGTGATGAAGTCTTGCTCTGTTGCCAGGGAGTGCAGTGGCGCGATCTCAGCTCACTACAATCTCCGCCTCCCAGGTTAAAGTGAGTCTCCCCAGTAGCTGGGACTACAGGTGTGCACCACCATGTCCAGCTAATTTTTGTGTTTTAAGTAGAGACAGGGTTTCACCATGTTGTCCAGGCTGGTCTGGAACTCCTGACCTTGTGATCCACCCACCTTGGCCTCCTAAAGTGCTGGGCTTACAGGCGTGAGCCACTGCACCTGGCCGACATTGTTAAACTTTATATTTACTAGTCGGGGGAGAAAAATAAAACTTCTTTGGTGTACAGGACTAAGCTCTAGACTCAAAGGAGAACTCCTCCCTTCTAGCTGTGTGATCTTCGGCAAGTCACTCAATTCCCTTAGGCTCAGCTTCCTTTTCTGTAAAATGGGAATACCATTCCCCTCCTGGCGAGTTTTGAGTCAGGACTAATGAAGTAAGGAATAGGAAGGTACATGGTAGCTCGGTGGCTTACCCTGCAATAAAGGGCACCACCCTCGTCGGAACTTGGGTCACCTTGTTGAGAGCCAGCTGTGGAGGCCATGGGAGCTCCGAGGGTTGAGACCAAGGCCCTAGCAATTTCCTCAGATTTCCCACACATGCCCTGACCTTCCGTAGATAAAAGCAATTTTAGACTTAACTTACCAAAAATTTCAGCCACACTTTCCACATTTTTAAACATCCCACTGAAGAACGTGATATCTAAGGGTAAGAAAGAAAACAAATGAGAGTCTTGGTTTTCCTTCTTTTTCCCCTCCCTGTCTACCTTCTAGGTAACGAGCACAGAAAACCTTCCTTCACTTCCTAAAGACAAATTTGACCTTGGGCTAAGCCAGCTTTCCACTAACACAGGTTACCATGGAAACTTGATAGAGATGAAATGTGAATTGCATTACTGGGCAGCATTGTGCAATGGTACCAATGACCCCTGGGTGGTAAGGTGTATCTGGACTGGCAGGAATTATGACTGAACTATAAATACCTGGTAGGGAATCATCATCTTGGGTCTCGTTTAATGTGATGACTCTTATAAATGGTCATCCTACTGGTTGTCCTAGAAATTATACCCATGAAGCCATTGCTAGAGATACCGACTCCTATGGAGAACGAAGCTTCTAAGCTGGGGCTGGTCATAAATTGCACCATGTCAGTCCCATTTCCTTGTACCTGAGCTGTTATCTGGGATCTCCAGGACTGCTGTAGGTAAAGAGTACGTCAAACCTTTCTTCATTCTCTAAAGACAAATTTGACCTTGGGCTAAGCTAGCTTTCTACTATAGATTGCAATCTACTAGCTAGTAGCTTGCTGTGAGGGCCACTCTTGCTGCAGAGGAATGGCTGCTGTGGCCTGCTGGCATGCTGTGCCCCTTAGCCTTGATCCTTCAAAAAGCACATGTGGCCTGTGAGTCTTAATGTCTGATTAAAGAACGTCTCCTGGTGGGCATTGCACTTCCTCTAGAAGTTATGCCATTTGAAGAGAGGCCACTTGTCATTTGCATCTGAATGGGACTGATTACTTTACATGTTATGGGCTTACTCATGAATAATTTGGTTGACCCAACTCTCCCCTCTGAAAGGTTGGAAATAAACCCTTGATTCAGGGCTGACATCACCAGTAAATTCATTATGCTTTATGGTCTTCAGCCATGCCCATACGGGGAGCCAGCTGAGAACTGCTTATAAATTATCGCTGAGAAAACTTTCGCTTCCCTGGGAAACAAATATGGATCCTCCTTTTTTACAACCAGGGCAAACAATACATCATTTATCCCTCATGGTCTTGCCTTCTTGGAAGCTCAGATCTCAATTTGAAGCTAAGATACAATTAATACATAACCTTCAGGTCAGCCCGTTTCCTGCCTTCTCCTGGTTTCCTTTTTCAACTGACCTTTGTCAGAAATTTTTAGATTTTGTCTCAGTTGAGAGACAAAGGGTGGGTCAGACACCAGGAGAGATTGTTGGGGAGGTGCTTTTGAATCCCACTTCTGTCACTTTACTTATAAATGCCACGGCTGTGAGTAGCTCTAGGGCGTATTCAGAAGGGGTTATTTTCTCTACCAATAATAGCCTAGACAATTTTCTACTCAGCCCCTAAGAAAAGTTCCAAGAGTCCTTACTGATATTGTTTGGGAGTCCTGGAAGCAGCTCCCGTGGAAGGTGTGGGGTGTCCAGAGGCTGGCCTCCTATAGATAAGGAAGAGGAAGTAAGGTAAGCACAAACACTGATACCATTCACTTGCTGGACCAAGGCCGGAAGGTGACAGCCAAGAAAACTACAGGAATTCACATACATTGAATTCCATGCATATTTCCCAGAACCTGCTATGCGCCAGATTTGGAGGTAGTTCCTGGAGGAAATAGGCGATGGCTGCAGTAGCCCCGGTGCCTAATATTGGTCAGCCTTAACAGAGGCATTCTGGTTGGGGCTGGAGAGGTTTGGGGACTTATCTCAAAGCAGTCTTTGTGTATGAAGCATCCTGTTTTATTTAGATTGCAGGTTTTTTTTGGACTTTCTTGACATAAAGCACTTGTGGAAAGAGGTAAATACATGAAAAATACCCCAACCCCCAAGGAGTTTATACAATAATAGGGGATAAGGGTTTTCCCCAGACTATCAGCATCAAAATCACCTGGGATGCAGACTCCGTAAACATTCTGATCCCTATGTTCTCAAGTTTGATTCAGCCAGTCTGGACGGGGACTCAGAAAGAAGCATTTTTAGCAAGCTCCGTAACTAGCTTTGAAGCAGATGGTCTCAAAACCTCACCTGGAGAAATGCTGTTTAGTGGTATGATAACGATGGTGTCCTAGCAGTACCCAAATGCATTAGTACCAGTACCGCCTTCAGCCAGTGCTTCAGTATGGTGGGGTGTGGAGATGCAACCTGGGCAAATGGGACAAGCATGTGGGAGCTGGAATCCCAGCTTAGACAAAGATTTGCTACCTAAAAGCTCAGAGAACTTACAGACTTGTCCCTGCTCATATTTTTCTTTCCCCAACAATATAAAGCTTATAAGTAGTTGGAAATGGTCAAAAGAGTTTTGTCTTTCTTCGTCACACGGAGAGTCATGGCGTCAGCACTGTCAGTTTGACGCTGTGTGGAAGTCCCGTCAATCTGAAAGTCACAAAGGGCCATCCTTCACAGAAGCATGTTAGGTTATATCCTCTCAGGACGATGTCCCCAGATGATGTCTGCGTCGGCCTTTCTTAGGTTAGAGCAGGTTTCTCAGCTTCACGATTGACATTTTGGGTTGCGAAATTTTCTGTTGCTGGGGATTGACAGAGGACTACAGACCCACATCTTTGCAGGGATGGGTAGACGATGTAAACGAGTACCAGTCCAATGCTGGGAAGCAATAGGGAATGGTGGAGACTGTGGAGAACCAGAGAGACCCAAGCCACAGCAAGACAGGCAGTTGTGACTCAGCACCGAGACTTTAGAAACAAGTCTCATCATTTGAATTTTTCTAAAATTGTTTTTGAAATCTGAATTTTTTTGGTGAAAATCTTCCAATTTTAAACTCTTTGCTCAAATTTAAAATAAAATATTTTGCGGACTAAGCAAAACAGGCTGATTTGGGGTTGAAGGTGAAATGAAGGTGCTTTGCCTTGGGTGTTTGTGGGGCTGCTTGGGAGGGTCCATGCTCCATCTCGGGGCAGGGCTGGGCACTGTCCCCGCATTTCACAGGTTCCAGTGCCAGCCACGTATTCTCTCTGCCAGGCTCTTGAAATGGTTTCCATGAACAAGGAATTCCCTCCTGCCTGAGAACTACAAGCTTTGAAGGGATTGTGGCCTGTAAAATGCAGAATTTCAGGACAGGAGGAAACTCGTGACTTCAGTTCCATTTGAGCCCTTGTCACAAAGCCCAGGTAATTGCTCTGACACATTTTTCACTGGGCATAAATGCCTTGGAAATTAATCAGCATAATAACCAACAGCTAAGAATACCTGCGGCCCACTTCAGCAGCAATGGTAAAATCTTGTCTGCTCCTTGGCAATCACTGCACTGTATTCCTTTGTGCAACTGACAATTAAGCTCGTCTTCTGGAGGGCGGGGATAATCTTATTACATATAGATGTTAATAAGGTGTGCTTTCTCCCACACACTCACACTTACTCTCAGGATGTAGACGCCCACACATTTTTAACAGCAACGAAAATAGTCACCCTAGATGAGAAACTCTTCATCCCAGAGGACTAAATTAGTTCACTCACAAAGTCCAACAGCGCAGTTTAGGGAGAGTGACACATGATCAGAAGCAATGTAAGGACAAAACTCATCCAAATGGCGCTGATTCTGATTCAGTTAACTTGCTGTCACACGCTGGAAGGTGACGGGCATGTGTCCTGCAGGCATCACGTCTGATCCTCTCCCGAGTGCTGCTGGGCACGTTCTGTCGTTACCATTTTATAGACAATGAAACCGAGACTCCTGGATGAGGCTGTAAAGCTTTTTCCCACGCAGCAGCACGTAGGCTTTCCTTGACCTGGCCCCTCTGCGTCTGCTGAATCATCTCCTACCTTGGATTTCATGCTCCGGAAATGCTGAAAAGCTTAGGTTTTCTGGCCAGCAAACTATTTCTCGCCATCCTGCCTTTGCTTGTGCTGCTACGTGGGGCCTGGGATACCCTCCCCGTGTTGGGTCCCCTTGCGTTACTGACTCTCACTGATATTTTATGGTTCGACTCAAAGTTCAAGAAGCCCTGCTTGACCCCCAACCTGGGCTGGGTCAGGGACGCTGCCCCGTGCTAGTATAACGTTGTGGACAACCTTCTCTCATTGCACCTGTCACCCCATGTTGCAATGATCTGTTTATGCAATTGTTTCCTCCACTAAACGAGGGACTTGAAAGTAAGCACTGTGATGTAGGTAATATATTGATGTATGTATATACTTACATTATACATATATAAGAGAAAACACAAGTTCGATTGATATCTGTTTAATGAAGGACTGAGCATGCAATAGTTGAACCACGCCATCCAATGGTCAGTGAGTGATGGCCTGCTAGAATCAGAGAATCGTTGTCTACTAAGCTTGAAGTAAACTCAGAACATATCTTTAGATGGTGGAAAGATAATGTCCATTAGTGCTTTAGAATGGGATGTCATGGTATTATGTATTCTACCAAGATCAGCCAGGACTGCAGGAAGCACACCTTTTCCCCCAGGTCTCTTCTCAGGGGATCTGGCAGGAAACAAACACGCAGAGGACCAGGGGGAAGTGGGAGCCAACAGATGGTGGTGTGATGTGGGGGCTGCAGCACGAGCTTCAGTGCAGAGCTCCCAGACAAAGGGAGCACGTTAGGTGGGAGGGCCAAGCGATCTCCCTCTCCTAACACAAATGTGACCACCCTCCCACTGGCTGATTCCCACCCTTGAAGTGACGAGGCAGCTCCGAGTGATAGTAGAGGAAGCACAGCAGTCACCCTGGCTGTGTTGGAAGCTGCTCCCAGTCCTGCTGCAGGGATAGAAACACCCCTGGAGACACCTCGCCATGCACAGAGACCCTCTCCATGGTCAACTCGCACAAAGCGTTGTCTGGTATCTGACTCAGATTGCCACTGGAGCAACCATGGGAAGGGACCTTGCAAAGTTCCAACTACAGGAAGCATAACTGACCAAGGGCCTATGGCTATGCTTGGAAGTCCAAGGCAGGGTTTGCACGGAGGCCTTGTGCCCCTCATGACTGCTCCCAGCCAATGTCCCAGGGCAGGCAGGTATACGACAGTGGACAAGGCTCCTGGGGCACACAGGACTCCTCTGATGGCCACCTCCTGGATGACCTGGCCAACTTACACTCAACTGTAGTCCAGGGCATGTTCACTTCCCCTCTACCCACTCTTTCACATGCAGAACTTTCTGAAGGGCTCTGCCTTTCATGGCTGCCACTCCGTGTTTTCTCTCACAGGATTTCCTCTATTGAAATCTGCACACTTGATCTGGTTTGGGCATCTATTTCTCAGAAGACCCAGATTCAGACATCACTCCCCCATCTTTGAGTCAGAAGCCTCAATAACAGACCTTCCCTGCTACAGTGTCTTGGCCCAGAATTGGTGAATTTGTTGGGCAAGCAGCCTTATCCCAGGGGTGGTCACACACTTACTCCTGAAAAAATTGAGGCTGCAGGTAGAGCATGTTCAATTCATACATAAGTGGATACGATTGCACGTAAACTTTCTATGAGTACAATTTTTTGAAACGTAGGCATTAACATTTGAGAATAACATCCCTGGGGATGCACCAAAAATATTTGTAAAATTGTATAATTATAGAGGATGTAATTATCGTTTTTATCATCCCAAGGTAGTTAGAAACTAATAAAAGAGGGAAGGGATAAAGCAAGAAGACAAGAATATGTTTAATCATCTCGATTTTATAGAAAAGTAAGAGCATTTAAAAGACACGTAGAAGAGAGGGTGGGGGTTGGCATATTGCAGAGACAGTGTTCCTATCAAGTAATTACATGCTGAGCTGGAACTATGGTGTAAAATATCATTACTCACCAGCACAGAGGACCATCAGCATACTCGTGAGCAGAAACACAATCATGGCAGGAGAGCAAAGGATGGAGCTTAGGCAGCAACTGGAACAGACTCCTGGGAAAGAAGCCAGCAGAACAGGATGGATGTGTTTTCAGAATTCCCACAAAAAAACCCATGGAGCTTTGTCCCTTCTTGGTCCCACAGGCATGTGGTAAAGGAGAAAGCCCTGAACATGTTGAGCTCCCAGCTTTGCCACTAACTGACAGTGTGCCACTGAGAAGATTATGTTACCTCCTCGAGACTCAGTTTACCCGTCTGTAAAACGGAAACATAACCATGAGCTCCCTGAAGACACAGCTGTGGTCTTCTTATTTACTGATTGATTCCATTGTCATTTATTCCAGGCCTGCCCTGTGTCAGGCATCAAGGATCGAGGATGCAGGAGTGCAAAACACACTCCTTACCTGTGAGGGGCTCATAGACTAATGCGAAATGGAGGCAAGGTAACAAGTACTGTGTTTGAGTTTTGTTAATTGAATTTTAAACAGCCTATACATATACCATATACCAGCATTCCCAATAAACCTTCGGCATGTGGGCTGTGAACCTTTCCACCGTCACTTGACATATAAATAAATCTGGCAACCGAATGGTGGCGCTGAAGGCTAGCAAACAACGTTTTCCTGCAGCATCTCCCTCTTCCTTCCTTTCCTTGGCTTTTTAGCGTTTTGAATACTTCGTTGCAGTCCTAAAAGTTCAATAAATATGCCTCAGAGGATATTCTGGGGGGCAAAGGGGCAAAGTGGACCAAGTCTAGCAACCCTTCTGCTTTTCAGCTGTAGCTGCCCTCTGCTCAGATCAGCAAATACTTGATTTCAATAAGCATTTATGAGACTCCAGCCAGTCAGTTATGTATTTAACGGAGGGTTGGGGGAAGGGAAAAGACCAGTGGGATTTTAAAATAATTTTTGCCCCATTAGAATATAACTCCATAAATAATGTAAATACAGTTGGTTGATTTGTGCTTATTCTGCTTTTAGAACATGAGTTGTGCATATTCGTCCTTTTAGAACATACATGAAAGTATGAATGATAACACATTTTGATCCATGCTACCCTAGTGGCACACACAGGGCTGCTGGATAGGGTTGTACATGTCGTGCACTGCACAAAAGTATTTGGCCGGGGGAGGTCAACTAGATGCTGAAATGCTGCCAGTGCTTGACCCTGAAGCTTGTCCTCTGCAGTGTTGCAACAACCCGAAGGAAGGAGCTCTTCTAAAATTTGTTCTCCCAGAGACCAAGCCTGCCCCATATTTCTGGTGGTCCTGCATATATACCCAGGGCCATCGTGGGTCACTCTGCATGTGAGCAAGGCTTGGTATTAGGGAAAGTGTCCCAGAGGAAAAGACATTGTAGGTTGTAGAATCACTATTCTGTGAACTTATCCCAAAGTTGAACACAAGCTCTGGTGGCTGCAAAATAAATGTTTGTTGAATGAACTTTTTTAAAAGAGGGCAGAGTGTGACTTCTTTGAGATTCTCAGCTCAAAAATTTTTTAGTAATTTGGTCACTGTCTCATTGGCACAACGCTCTGCTTAGAGCGTTTTTTGGCCACACACATTCCTAAAGCTGGTTGGTTTTCAAGGTTAGACTGTCTCTCTGACTGTTTGGTGGAAATTCAGTTCTGAATGATTCCTTCTCAGGCCATGAAACAAGACTGAAAATTAAGGAGGAGACATAAGAGGTCTCCAAATGTAAAGTGGTATGCCCTGGAAATTTCTGGTTAGCAGTAGAAGGCACTTCAGAGGAGCCCAGAGGCCTCATTGAAATAACACCCACACGAAGGAGGCCAATGCAAACTTGGACAAAGTAGTCATTTTCTGCCACTTAGTATGTCAGGTATTTTATTGTTAAGATCACACCATGACAGGTTGCCAGCATGTCTGAACTTGGAGGGGCATTGAATCTTCTGATCCAAGCTCTAACTACGCAGATGACATCATTGAGGCTCAGAGCCTGGCAAATCATCGCAAGAATGTCCCACTTCCCAGGCCTCTTGGCTCCCAGTCCAGTGTCATTATCATAATGACAGACTCACCTGTGAGGTTACTGTGAAGACTGAAATGAGTTCATCTTTGTGAGGCGCTTACAACACTACCTGACATTGAGAAGTTGCACAAAAGCACTGTGTATTACAGGAGTGTCATCTGGCTCTGAGTTAAGGCTCAGTCAGCAGTAGCTGGTGCAATGAAGGCCTTTGTGCTGTTCCCTCATTTTCTGTAAGAATGGAAGCCCCTGTCTGGTGAATGAAGAAGAGTGAGCAGTTTTGCACAGTGCATCTTTGTTTTTCTTTTGTGACACATGTTTCAGGGATACATTCCCCTGGGTCATTCTGCAGCTCAGATAAGATGGCCAGAGGGTCATGTTCCACTTTTACTTCCTTGAATATGTTGCTTGAATGCAAATGAGCCAAAGTGACTTTATTAGGAACATAACTTTTGACTCTGCTCTGATGTATTTTTGAAATAAGTTATAAGGAGGTATAATTGGGGGGCTCCTAGGTAATAGGCAGAGTTTCAGTAGGGGAAGATCAAAAGTTCTGGAGGTGGACAGTGGCGTGATTGCACATCAGTGTGAATGCAGTTAATGCCCCTCCACTGTGCACTTAAAAGTGGCTAACATGGTCGATACTATGTTATGTATATTTTACCACAACTTTTTTAAAAGTAATAAACTTCATGGCCTTATTCCTTTAAACACAAAATTTCATGGATTGGCTCATTCTTTGGGTCAGGTGTTCCACTGAGCGTGCCCCACCTGCTGTCTTGTGACAACCCTCTAAGACACTGGCCATCAAGACACCTCACTTCGTAGACCAGGAACCGGGGCTCAGAGAGGGCGAGTCACTTGCCAGGGTGGCCCTTTCCCAGAAGGGGGTGCTCTAGCAATGACCATACCCAGGTGGGCCAGTCTGACTTGTCCTGGCTCCATGCAAGGTCCTTTGAGACAAACTAAGCAGCCCAGTGATGATCACTGCATAACAGTTATCAGTAGTACTTGCCTAGGAGGACCCTTAGGGTGGCCAGCTTCTTGCTGGGGTGTGGTGAAACACAGCAGGTGACAGCTCCTCCCCGGCTGAGCGCCAAGAAAGGGAAATCAGAGCCAGCCAGAAGGTGCCAGTCAGAAGCACGTGGTCATCCCTGGGCAACAGTGAGGATGACATGAATCCGGGGTACATGCACATTAGGGTATTTGGGTGGGATAGCTCAGGGCTGCTGCTGAAATAATCGAGTATCCTCCTGATGGCCAAGCCAGGTGCCCTTGGCTGTGTCTACCTGGAGGAAAGACCTTCTCCTAATTTGCCCAAGGAAGCCTCTGGGGCTGTGTTGGCCTCATGGGTCAGTGCTGCCCTGTGGGCCTGAGAAGGCTCTCTGAGCCTCGCCTTGGTCTGCATGCCAGTTTTGGCCTTCTAGCTCCCTAAGCCGTCTCCCAATGGCTGGTCTCATGGCAGCACAGCCAGTGCCTGAGCCAAAGGCCTCGCTGGTCAGACAGACCTGGGCTGGGGTCGAGGAGTTCAGGCTCTGCCTTTTGCTTGTCAAGTACTCTGAGCCAGGTACTGAAGGTGCCTGGATCTCATTTTCCTGGGCAGCGAAATGCCTAAATGGTGTTTTCTCATCAGGGAATCATGAGAGTTCAATGTGGTAAGTCTTACAAAGGGAGAACACCAGGCCTAGCATGTGCTAAGTGCTCAGGGAGGATGGCCCCTAATAAGTGCTGGTAGTGTTTCCACACCAGGCGCCCTGGGCAGGGTCACTGGCCCACACAGGCTTGTAGGATCCTCACTAATGTGAAGTGGTGGATTTTCCCCCCAGGTAAATTCACCAGGTGCTGTCTCTCTGGCATTGCATACTTTCATGGACAGGCTGAGTGACCTGGGTTTCTAGCTATATCCTGGAGCAACATCCAGGTCTCAGACAACCCTAAGAGCATCCATCGCCTCCCACCTTATCCTCCATTCATTTATCTCTTCATTTCCCCTCCATTCTTCTCTCTCTTCCTCTCCCTTTCCCTCTCTCCCTCCCTCCCACCTTCCCTCTCTCCTTCCCTTCTTTTCTTCCTTCATCTATCTCTCCCTCTTTTCTTCCCTACCTTCCTTCTCCCACTCATTTCCCTCTCATTTCCTCAATACCTCCCTCTCCCCCTCCTTCCTTTTCTCCCCCCCCCCCTTCTCTTCTCCCACTCATTTCCATCCCTCTCTTGCTCTCTATCTCCCTCCCTCCCTCCCCTGCTCTCTGTCTCCCCAACCATGAGGAAGAACAAGTGCCTACCGTGAGGGATCCACCGGAGTGCACTGGATGAACGGTGCTAGGCTGTGAACAGGTGCAGACTGAGTCCTTTATACCCCAAGGAAAGACCCTTAGCCATGTGATGCGTCTCCCCACTCCTCACATCAAAAAGGCAGCCTTTCATGAATGCTGGCAGGTGGGCTGCCTGTTCCAAGCATCATAATACTATAGCTTGGAACAGGTGAAGGCTCCATATTAAGAGGCCCCATCTTGAGCCTCAGAGGAGACCCAGGCTCTAATTAAAGAACAATGGGTCCCCTGTTCTACCCCACCTCACCTCAAAGGATAAGACGTCCATGGATTATGTCTCAGGGTCATCATGGGAACTCTCGGGGGATGAAAGACTGATGAACGTCACGTGGGCTCTCCTGCAGGATAAAGGGCTGGCTTTGTCTTGTCTAGTTAATTCTTTTGCAAGAGGATCTCTAGGGTGATTCTTCTTATACGTTCTTGGCCTCAGACCTGGGAATTTGATGCCTCTTTCTTTTAGGGCTTTTCTGCCCAAGCTGTGGGGTAGGGTGAGGTGGAGCTTCATAATCACACACCCTAGGTTTCCCCTTCCATTCCCCTGCCAGCCCAGTTATGAAGTACCACTGTGGCCTTTTGCTAGGCACTGCTCAGCCTTAGCTTCCACATCTGTTAAATGGGCTTAATTCTACTAGGATTGTGAGGATGAGGAAAGCCATGTACAGTGTGTGGTATGGGGGCTCATTAAATCCCAGTTCTTTTTGTCGCTTCTTCATGTCCCCTTGTGAACTATTTTCTTTCCTGATTTTAACAAGAAGAACTGGCATTTATTGAGTGTGTGTAATGTACCACAAATATTTTATAGAATTTTGCCCTCATCATCCCTGCAGCAGCTCTACCATTGCTGCTTTCATAATCCTAGGAGCAATAATGAATTAGCTCTATTTGACAGATGAGAAAAAAAAAAAGGTATCGTTGAGGTTGAGGCATTTGTAGACGCTCACGTGTGATGGCAGCTTTCTGGGATGCAGGTTAGCCTGACTGTGAACCCTCTGAGTTGCTCACTCTATGGCCGCCTCCTGCAGAAGCAGGACTCCTCAGACGATTAAATCAAGGCACACTTGAGCCTCTATGGAAAAACTCATTGAAAAGCTTCTTCAAATAATAGTTACTCTCGTGCACTGAGGCCTGTGTTTGTAGCTCATTAACTATTGTTCAGCATCTCATGTGATTTGAGGAATGAAGATGCATGGTCTGTAATCCTTTCTCATTAGCACAGAAGACTCACCATCTCTAAATTGACTAAGCACAGGGGCATCTGTGGCTCAGTGTATCAAAATCCACCTTTTCAGCATCTCAAGAGCATAGCTGAGATTGTTATTATGCCTGAGCAACACTAAGGCATAACAATCTGCATAGGTATTTTGTTTGAGACATAACATGGGGGTTTGAGAAGGATCATTTTCTCCCCATAACTTACAATGGAGTAACTTAATCTTAGTACTGTTGGCATTTGGTCCAAATTATTCTTTTCTTTGTAGTAGTTGTTCCAAGCATTGCAACATCCCAGGTCTCTACTCAACAGATGCCAGTAGTACGCCCTCCCTTGTGAAAACCAAAAATGTCTGCAGACATTGCCAAGTGTCCCCCGGGGGCCAAATCACCTCTGATTGAAAACCACAGGCCTTCAACATCCCTGGAACCTTCGCCTTTTACCATTCTGTTGGTGGAGCAACGTGAGAGTGAAGCTTTCACAAGAACCCAGACATAAGAGAAAAAGTCTGTTCTAAATGAGAGTTTAAAATTGTAGATTTCATTATGATGGCACCTAAATGTCTCCTTCACACAAACTCACAGCACAAGTGCACCTGTGCAGAAATAGGGAACCACACACACAGAAACACGTAGAGCCGTGCACTGGGGTCAAGAAACAAATGCAATCCTTCTCCTCCCTCTTTCTCCTCCTCCCTCGTTCCCTCTCCTCCTCCCCTTCCCCTCCTTCCTTTCCCTCTCCCTCATCTTCTTCCTCTCCCTCCCTTCTTCTCTCTGTCCCTCTCTTTCTTTCTCCTGGCAGCTTAGCTGGTCTTCTGGACATAAACGAAATATACAGAAATGCACCTGCACCTTTACTGCCTGGAAGAATGCCCTTTAATAACTTTATGCATGTAACCGCAATCTCCTTCATCAGTGCAGATACAGTAACTGTCCCATTTCTTTTACCTAATCTATTAACCATTGGTGGCCACATACACACAAATTAGTAGTACTTCCAGATCAGCAGCACCCCCAGAGGCTTCCTCATTGCCCTAGCTATCCCCTAAATCAGGACACATTCAGCTCAGAAGGGGTCAACCCCCCATGAACTCCAGGAGACCAGCTGGACTCCATGCAGTCATCAGCCACTCCTGGGTCCTGTTTTCCTCCTGCCATTGCTGCTGTTTTGGCTGATGGTGAGATTGTAGAAAGCTGGCCCCAGGGAGTCCTCTGAGCCTTTGTCCTTGACGCTTGGTCAGATCCCTGCCTACGCCTCAGAGATATTCCACATTTGAGCTTCTTAAAGGTTATAGTCATCTCAGTCATTATTTCTGAAGTATGGGGTAACTGGGTCCACGTGGGTTTCCCCACAGGTGAAAAGCCCTGGTCTTAGGCCCAAGCCATCCATCCATTCTTCACCTTCCTTGATGATAAGTTACTCTTTGGGGAACCTTGGGGATCCTTCCCTGCCAAAGGCCCTTAATTAATATCTGTGCAAGGACTGAAATAAATTAACCCACACTTAATGAGCTGGCTTGGTTCCTATCCAGGTAGAAGTCCCTTTGCCTCCCAGAAAATTTGCTGTATCCTTTTCATCTCTGCAAAAGGCATGACGACATACATTTATGAGCTTGACATTTGCATAACCTGGAAAGTCTTTAAAGTGTTGTGGAAAGTAAAAAGAAATTTTTCTGCATAAGACTAGAAAGAGGAATGTCTGGCAGCTCGTCTCTCCGATGTCCAGGTTCTACCTCCCCAGGCACCTGTAGTTCACAGGCAGTGCCAGGCACTCAGGGGTCTTCCAATGGGGGAAACTGCTTGACACTTCAATCATGAACCAAAAGTGACTTTCCTCACCCAAGGGCAGCCATAGATCACAAAAGGGTGAAAAAACCTCTCTCTGCCTGGCAGAGCTCTAAGGCAAGAGAGAGGAGAAGGAGCACCAGGCACATCAGGGGGAAGGCTGTCCCTGGTGATGAAGAATAAGGGGTCTGTGCAGGGCTGCTGGAGACAGCACACATGCTCTACATGGAGACCGACATTTACAGAGATACTGGAGCAACCACAAACCTGGACATTGCGAAAAAGGTACCATGAAGGGGGCACCTCAGTATGTGGGGATGCAGTAGAAGCTTGGCTCCACAGGGAGCTCAAACCTCATACCTTCCAAAGAAATGTCTGGCCCTTGACCTACTCCTGGGGAATCTCCGCTAAACCCTTGGAATATCCTGCATGGTGAGTGTCTCTGTGTACTGGGGCCTTTGTGCCATGACAGGTAGTTTTTGTTAACAATGTGACTAATGGTGGGGCCTCAGGTCATGCAGTATCAGCTTGATCTCTAGAGGGACTGGAGACTGAATCACTAAGTTCAGCCATGCAGACCATGAAGGCTGCATACCTACTCCACACCCCAAAAGATCCCCTGGACACTGAGGATTGGATGAGCTTTCCTGGCTGACAATACTATACATGTTAGTAAGCATTGCTGCTGGGAGGATTAGATGCTGGCTGTGCAAGCCCACTGGAAGCTTGTGCCTGGGCTCTCTTAGACTCTCTCTAGAGGTGCCTTTTACCTTTGCTTATCTTCATCTGCAGACTTTTGCTGTAGTAAATGCTAAATGCGCATATAATAATTTTCCTGCCCTCTGAATTCTACTGGTGAATCATTGACCCTGAGGGTGCTCATGGGGACTTCTGAACCCAGTGGGACACACAGAATCAAGACAAGATGTCAATGAAAACAATTCTCTAAACCTCCTCCTAATGATAAAGTTTTCATTATTGCCTACTTACGGGGACTTGGAAGATTATATAGATCCCATAGTATGGCAAATCTGATTGGTTGTACATGTTTTACTTAACTGTATAGAAACAGTATATGTGAATCTCTCTAAAGTATGAATTCCATCTTAAATGCTTTTGTTGTCTTCAAGAGTCTCAAGTTTAAGTCACCTCAGGTCTTGTGCCAGAGTCTCCGTGGTTGAACTGGTTTGTGCAGGCTAGGGTGCCCATGCATCCGCAGTTTTAAATTGACAGGATTGCCTCAAGCATTGCAGGAGTTTCTTGAGCATGAATACTACATTTTCATGACTTTGAAGCAGGCAGGGAGTTCGGCATTACTGTATTAATTGTGAGGCCTCTAAAAGGAAAACTTCTACCTTCAATGTTTTACACAGATTCACGGGAGAGGGAAAGAAAATGCTACTTCCAAGAATAATCACTTTCAATTAATTGATGATCTATCTGGAGCCTGGGTGAATTCTTCAAGTGTAGCCCAGCTGGGAGAAGAGCCAGGATGACGGCATAGCCCCTGAAGTCATTGTTTTGCCCTAGTGTTATTTTTCAGGTCTCATACAGACTTGCAGATATTCTCAAGGCATTTTTGCTTTAAGGCTGGAAAAAAAAAAAAAAGAAGGAACTCAAGGTACTGAGACATAAACACTACAGAGACACAAATGAAACCCTGAGGGCACCAGCAAGGGTCTAGGCTCTTCCGGAAAGCAAGTGTGGGGCAGTGCACTGGACAGGGGTCACTACAGTGACCTCAGATGGTGGAAAGGACTCATGCAAGACTCTATTGCTGTTAGCAGCAAAGTCTAGTGAGGAGCAGCTCCTATCTCTCCACTCTTTGCCCACTGCTCTTTTCCAATACCCAGCTGTATCTAATGCATCTCCACAGTTTGCATGAGGCTAATTTAAACTCATTAATAAGCTGCTCAGTAAATGTAATACGTTGTGTGCATAGAGATTTTAATGCAGCAAGGACAAAAGAACTATTGAATTACGTGTTTGCAAGTTTCCTATTTCCTCTGTCCGCACCAGATAAAGGGATTTCTACCTCTGATTTCTGACCCCCTCCCACTCCTACTCCTAATGCCTATCTTTTTTTTGTTGTTTAATGCAGGACAAAGGTGATGGTAGAAAGCGAATACAGGAAACGTGGGATGGTGGACTTGCATAAGAAATAAGGACCTTGTGTTTGGGAAAGAATAAAATAAAAGAGACAGAAGGAATGCAAATTAAGCAGAAGAGGTAAACGGAAACACAGAGAAGAGCCAGAGAGTCTGATTTTAGGAGAGCTACTGAGTGATAAGTTGAAAAACGAAATATAAAGAGAGCCTTTAAGATGGTGGCTTGTGAGAAGTGAGAAATAATGGAGGGCAGAAAGAATAAGAAGAGTTTCTAAGAAGTGTGACATGGATCCCCAGGATCCCAGCTGGTGTTCTTCAGAACCCATATGGAAAGATTGGGCTGTTGTACCATTTTGTTTGTTCAAACGTAAAACATTGCCAAGACTGAGCCCTGTGAGCACACAGCTTATATTTGGGTTATAGTAAGAAGGGATTTTCTACACAATTTAATGTAGTTCCATGATATTTAGAAAACAAGAATCCCTTGAGGTAGTTCAGGTAGATGGCATGATGAGATGGCCAGACTGTTAGTTTTGGGACTTTGTTGTAGAGGTGAGAGAAATAAAACAAAGCTGAGACCTGGAATACCTGGGAGTAAATGAAGCTTTGAAGCTACCAGGACAAGGAGAGAGGTACCATATCGAGACATAAATTCTAGTGCTTCATGCTGCTTTCTTTTGCGTGAATTATTTGTATACATTTTTCCTTTGGTCAAGAATTTCAGCATTGGTATGTGTGTATTACTTTATTTTATTTTTATTTGTCTTTTTAGCTGACATGGGAGTTCTGTGGCTAAGAGATTTTTCTGAGTTCACACAGAGAGCAACAACGCTTGGTCAGGCTGACTCCTGCTGTGTTTTTCCCTAGACCTTATTGCAAACATCAAGTGTGAGCCTTAAAGAAAATAAGAAAAATCCTCAATGGTGTTTGTCCCAAATTAATGAGTACTGGATGAGCTACAGCATTCCCAGGACCTCTGGAAATCACTCAGAGTTACACAACCCTTTGGTATAATGCGTTTGCTGCAAAGTTACAAGATGGTCAAGCTGTGTACTTACTGTGTGAGTGGGACACCCTTTTCACCCTCTGACAGATGTATGTTGCATTCTTCAGAAACCAGGAATAGTATTCAAGACAGTATCTAAAGATTTAAATCACAGTGGGGAGCAATAACTATCCTGTGACGGCTATTAGAAGACAGCCAGGCTTTTAAAAGTAAACACAAAAACATGAACTATATGGCCAATTATTCACAGCGAGGAACCCTCTGTCCATCTTTAAAGGGTGTCAGAGGAGAGACAGGAAAGAAGGCTAGGTAGGAAGAAGTTCAGACTTTGGGGCCAGCAAGACTTATTTTTGGCCCTTGCCCCACTACGTGCTAGGATGCATGACTTCAAGCTGATAACTGAATTCTCTGGACCTGAGTTTTCTCATATATAAATGAAAGGCAATAATAGAACCTATATTCGCAGGTTGTTGAGGATAATGAGTAGATAACATGTAATAGATAACAAGATGTAAGGATGTCTTACATGGGGATAAGATAACATATGTAAAGTTTCTGAACAGTACCCAGCACACAAGATGTGCTCAACAAATGGTGAAATTTGTTTGTTTACTAATTTATTTTAGTGGGAGATGAAGAGAGAGAAAGTGGAGCGCTGCTGTCATTGTCAATGCAGCAAACACTTTGCAAAGTAACATTCTGTTCTTGGTCAGGGGCAGCAGGAGCTGCATCAAAGGGCTGTGGTGAAAAGATCACTCATCCTATTAATAGGAAAAAGAGTTTTTAGCGCAGGCTGTGTCACTAGCTCATTGTATGGCTCTGGGAATTCACTTCTCTTTCAATCCCTCATCTGATATATGAGGAGGAAGGGCTAAACATTCTCTAATTTCTTTTCCACCTCTATCATTCTGTGATTCTAGCATACCCTAGAGAGTTTTGCAACTAATTGCTCAAGTCAAGCTTGTGGTAGAGATTTTCCAAGGGCTATCACCCCCAATTTATAGGAAAGTGCAAAGCCGAGGAAACTGAGGCACAGAGATTAAATAACTCGCCCAAGGATACATTGCTTTCTGGCGGTAGTGCTGGATTTTAACCCAGGTAACCCACTTTATGCCATTCTGGTAGGCAATAAGATCAATATCTGAGTCAGGACCCTGCCGGGAAAACAGAACCTGGTGATTCTACAGAGGGACTTTAATACTGTGAATCAGTCATAAAGGGCTGAAAGAGCCAACAGGGGAAGGTGAGGAAACTCCGTATTAGCAGCTACAGGGACTTGCTGGGCCTGAAGGGACAGACTAAGAAGTACTGTGGCCAGAGCATAGAAGGCAATGGCCTCTAGTAGCAGCTGGAACCACAGAGCAGAGGCTGTCATGAGGATTCCTTGCAGAAGCTGGAACCACAGAGGAGACAGAGCCACTCCTGGAAATATTACAGACAGAAAGAGAGGAGGAGCAATTCCCTAACTTCTCCCCTCTACTGCCCTCCAATCTCCTCTCAGTATCTTCTATGGGATGAACTCACAGGAATCTGGCTGACAAGGTTCTGGGAAAGTCAGTTTGTACAATTCAGCCCCTTTCATTAAAGAGCCAAGTAGAGAAGGGGCAGGAAATGGACACAAGAGTGAAAAAGCAAGCGGCAAACACACCCAGGCTGCTTTCTGTGAGCCTGCAAACCTGTACTATCAAGGAGACCTTTCACAAGTTCCAGAGACAGGACGTCAAGGTTGGCCACCTCAACAGCGGACATGGACACTAGATACGTAGTTAGCACACACAGTGCGCCAGCGATGGGATTCACACTTGGCTGCCAGAGTGGACAAGACAGCAATCACAACAGTGTCTTCATCAGCAACCACAGAGTGCGGCGTTCCAGGTACCATGCAGGAACAATTAGATATATCATTTCATTTCATTTCATTTTGTTCTCACACCACTGTCAGTGTAAGTAAGAATGCTGTTACCCTCTTATATGAATGGTGCTCCTGGAGTTGTGCAACATGTGGCCTAGACTGTAGGCAGGATTGTACCCATTTTGTAGATGAACAAACTGAGGTTCAGAGATTAAATGGCTAGCCCAAGACCACATAGCTAGTAAAAGTGGCAGAGACTAAATTTAAACCCGGGCCTGCCTGGCTTCAAGCCCTGCCCTCTCTATAGCAAACTAAGCTACTTACTAGCTTTTGGGGTCTTGGTTCTATGGCCTAATCCGATTCCTTCTTAGCCAGTGTAACAATCTTCAAGTCATGCTTTCTAGTAACAGCAACAAAACTTCTTAGAAAGCTTCTGTGATAGAGGACATCAAGCAACCCTGGAGCATCATCTGCTTTAGGACAACATCATCCAAACTAAGCTGCTCCGTAAAACTGCAAAATGTGAGGCCAGGATTTAAGTTTCAGCAACCACAGAAACATGACCCATACCTTCACAAGCCAAAAAGCTGCCATTCTGTGCCCGAATTCCCTTTGACAGAGTACATGGCTTTCAGGATGAATGGGAATTTCTTGCCTCTATGATTGATTAGGAGAGAAACTATTTAAACATGACATGTGCTTTCCCCAAGCTCTCTGGCAGAGGCATCCTCTACAAGTATTTGTGAGGTGAATGAACAATAGATAAATGATCATGGTTATTATTCTGCAGGGAATGGAGTCAAAGTCCTGCTCATAACAAGAATAGGTATTCCTCACATGGACTGGAGGAGGCATTTCCTTGCAGAACAGGCTAGATGGTCTCAGAAGAACATCAGTTGTTAAGGTGGCCTATTTTGTTTATCTTCAGTTCTTCAGGGCAGACGTCAGCTGCAATACCATGGCTGGGTGAGCTAAAACTAGTGTTGATGCATCCATGATTACACCAGCCCCTTGCACCAGACCAGAGCTGCTACATGCACTGTGGAGTCAGTAGCAGCTTGAATGGAGAAGCCATTGACACTAGACTGGGGCCTGAGGCAGCAAAGTTTATAAGTCACCAGGGCTTTGCCATCCTTCAAGGGGTGTGCCCCAAGAATGGTGCTGGGGGTCCTAAGAAGGAAAGGTTTCAAGAGATGACCCTGGGAGGGAGATGATGTGAAGAGAATGGGAGTTTAGGGTATCTCAGTTTAAAAATGGATAGGATTTAGAGGGCTGGATTTCAAGAATTCTGTATGTTGTATTTATTCTGAACAAGGAGGGAGTAGAAAGTTTGGAAGAGGGACGGATGGAGCACTACAGTGGAAGTCAAAGAGAGCATATAATAGGTGATCCAGGTACTTAAAAGGCAAGGTAGTCCTGAATAGGGACAGGCCAGAGACTTGGTCTCCCATCTTTGCTGCAGCCACATTGAACATCTCAGTGGCCCTCAGATGTCCCAGGCTGCCTGTCACTCCATCTTTGCAGATGCTATTTCTTTTGCCTGGAAAACTCCTATTCCTCCCTACAACCCTGTTAGTTATTTCTCCTGGGATCCCATAGCATGTTACTCAGGTCTGCTAGAGCACTTGCCAACTGCTTTGAAATTTGTCTTTTTGCATTGCCAAATTTCCCACTCGTGTTCTTTTTTTAATTGCAAAGGCTATGTTCAACAAACATACCGAATAATGCCACCTCCCCAACTCTAATATCCTTGGCCTATATTCAGTGCATGACTTTATGGAAAAATTTACTATTCAGTGAAAATACACAGAAAAGAAGGGACAAACCCAGGCAAACGAGTGCTTCATTGCTCTAAATTTAAACTCAAAGTTCTCTCTGAAAGTGTATGCCTTTTTCATGTATTCACTCAGCCATGATGTACAATATGAATGTTTTCAAATATGATATTTTCCAAGGGGATATGATTAACAGGTTTTTGCCTGGGTGCATGCCTTGGTTCTATTACCTATAACATCATATTCTAATTTGTGTTTATGACCATTTCTTCCTTCCAACTATGAAAGCCTCAGTTTCTGAGGCTATTTCTGATTTATCTCTAGATCCCCGTGGCTTAGCACAGAACATCACAGATATATAGCAGAGACTCAATACATGTTGTTAGTTCAGTTAGTGAGTAAAGGATCTCCTAAAGTGGGCTGATTTTAGACAATACAGAAAGTATTGTTGTGAAAATTTTCTTTAGAATAAGCCTGGACTGTGGGTCTATAGGCCTTGCTTAATGCTCTCTGTGAATGAGGAAATGTCCTTACTGACAGGGTATCAAAGATTACAGCTAGAAAGAGGTGCTGGGAAATGGCTGCCCACCTGGGTTTGAGACTCAGAGGCAGAAATTTTAAAAGCTGATGGATCCTGAGAGTAGTCTTTGAAAATAACATTAAAGACACGAGACATTGGTACGCAGACCACCGGAGCAGGAGTATTCACCTATGTTATTTAGCTCTGGGTTTACAGCCAAGAATAAATCTCAGAAGAAAGAACAGTATGTCAGCATTGTAAGACAGAAAATGTTCATGGCTAGACCTTATTAATATGAAACAAGGTCTGCTTTCTAATTTAAGTTTTTCAACTTATTTTGCTGGTGGATGATTGGTAGGGATTTATGAAATAATTGGAATTTAGATAGACATATCTTCTATTTATTGTCTCCTAGCAAATCTCACCAGGCTGAGGGCATTTGGGTTACAGAACCACTCAAGATCCTCTGTCATAATTCCACTTGACATGACACAAGTCAACTCAACACAACTCAGCGTAGCTCAATTAATCTAAACTCAACACAATTCAACTTAGCTAAACTCACCTCAACTCAACACAGGTCAACTCATCACAACTCCAATTCAACTAAACTTAACTTCAATTCAACTAAACCTAATTATACTTATTGTGCCTGGCACTGCACTTGGTTGTGGGGACCAGCAATGAATGAGACTCCATCATGAATCTCAAGGATGTGACTGTCTAGTAGAGGACTCACTGGAGAGTTGCTTTCCTTGAGGGACCCCCTGCCACCTGTCTGTGAATTGCTTATTGCCTGACTCACTGCCTTGTGGCCTGCAGAAAAGCCACATAGAATAAGAAAACTATAAATATTGGATGTGAAAAGAAGCCACTGGGCCAGGTTACCTCATGTCGTCTGTCCTGGGACTTCTCTGGCTCATGCAGAGGCATTGCTGAAAGAAGTGACACAGCTCCATCAGGCATGGATTGAGCCTCTGGATAGCCAGGGTGAGAGGAGCAGCTGCCATGGCTCCCACCTTGAAGAGCGGCTGAGGACACCCTAGAAGATGCAATCCCAGAGCAATCAAATCAGTAAGAGTTTAACAAGCATCTTCTCTTTGTTAAGCCCTACACCAGGTGAATACAGTCTTGTCCTGATCTCACGTAGCTCTGAGACAGACAAGTAAACATAGCACTCCTCACCATTACCCAATAAAGCTACTGTGAGCGTTTTAAGAACAGGTGGAAAGAAGGTGATGGTGAAGTTCCAGTAGGAAGACAGAGATAGTTTCACTGAGAAGCAAATATTAAACAGGGATCTAAGATGTTGAACAGAAATGCATCAGGTGGAGGGCATTTCTGGTGTAAGGGACAGAGCATGCAATGACTCTGAATGATGTAAAGGAGTGACTTGCTGAGGGGGATTGGAGAAAAATTGGAGGACAGAGGTATGAGGTATGTATACATATGTGCGTGCACAGGGTACATGTGTGTGCATGTGTGTGTATATATATGTGCATGCATGTGAGAACATATGGATATGTATTTGCATGTGAGCATGTGTGTGCACATGCATATGTGTGCAAGGAGGAGAGAAGGAAGGGCAGGTTGAAAGATGAGACTGGCACGCTGGGTCACTGGAGAGTCCGGCTCTGAGTTTGTGAATTCTCTGTTTCCATCAAGTGAAAGTTAATTATGTTTTCGTGAACCAGATTTTCAGTGTTGTTTAATTTGCAGCTTTTAGGAGAAGGAAGTCCAAAGATAAAATAAGGAAAGACTAGATCATATTTAACAAAAATTCCAACTCCTTGGAATCTGCTGAGGTTCAGATAGCTTCCTATGGCTACACCTACATTTCCTTATGTGGAAAATAGGAAGACCCATCCCTCTCATATAGGATGACTGGGTGGATTAAATGAGACAATTTATACAAAGCATATTGCAAAGTTGTTGGCATAAAGTGAACAATAAACAACAGCCATTATTATTGTTATTTATTCATTTATTAAATATTTATTGAGCTCCACTGCATGCTAGGCACTGATGACAGCCGCAAGAACTACAACGATTAAGAAGAAAAAGGGCCTTCCTCTCACAGAGCTTCCTTTCTAGGGACTGGAAAGTTGTATTACAATATTACTAATAGTCTTCCAACAGAGATTCACTAATCACTAACAGGAAAAATTATCTAAAACCTGGAATAAGCAAAAAGGATTACTGAGTATCCTTTTAATGCAGTTTTGGTTACCGTCTAGCAGACTGTCTGGGGACAGTCTGGGAAAAAAGGATTGTGCACCACGAGTTGACTTTCTATTGGATGGGTGATTTTACAGCTATCAAAGGGTAGATGTCAACTGATGGTAATATAAATAATTCTTGTCTAAGAGCTATGCAAATGATTTCTGTCTGTAGCCATGTAAATGAATTTTGTCTGGTAGAGGTGCAATTGATTTTTGTCCAGTTAAAAAAAAAAAGAGTTTATTGCTGTGGGATATCAGTTCACTTGAGAATTTCTTTGACTGATTACATAAATCTTTTTCCCTTAAATTCTACATTGAACCATCTTTACATCTTTCTGGTTTCCTCATTACTTAATGAGTTCAATAATGTCTTTGACATGTTGACATGTATTCATTTAATATTTTTTCTGTCATGTTTGAACATTTTCAAAATTATAATCTAGCAGTAATTACTTATTTTCATTTTTTACTTTTTGTAGAGATGGGGTCTTGCTCTGTTGCCCAGGCTGATCTCAAGCTCCTAGGCTCAAGTGATCCTCCCACCTAAGCCTCCCAAAGTGCTGGAATTACATGTGTAAGACACCACACCTGACCAGTAATGTATTTATTGAAGTGGAGATAGGGCTTACAATGTTAGCAGAAGACTTTTTAAAAAGGTAGAAAGAAAATATTTTATTCTGAGTTAACTAGAACATTAAATCCTCCAGAACATTGACCAATTTCCATCAATGTGTAACGATTTTTTCTCTATCAGTTATTACGCACCTACTATGTATCAGGTGCTCTCCTAAGATCTTTGCATATATTATTTATTCTAATTCTCATAAATCTTGTGAAGCAGACATCAGAAATATACAGAAGAGAATACAGAGGGTCAGAGTGATTCTGCAGTTGGATCAGTCATGCAACAGGGGGTGACTCCAGCCAGATCTGACTCTGGAGCCTGTTCTCATAACCATCACACTTCACTACTTAACATAATTAACATTCCCAAGGCTTGATTTCCATGTCCATTTCCCCACCCCATCCCATCCAAGCTTCTCCAACTCAGGAAATGACACTTGGGAGACACAAGATTTTTGGTTCCCACCTGTGCTCACTCCGCCATCATTGCATCCTCTTGGTTCTATCTCCTCAATGTCATCCAAGTCTCTCTTAACCACACAGTCACCTCTGCTTTCCAGTCACCATCACCTTGCAAGTTTTCCTGCTCCCAGCCTCTCCCACTCCTCCCCATTCTGTAGTCAGAGAAAACTTTCTGTAACACAAATCTGATCATATTACTCTCACTTGCCTCCGAAGTCCACACTCCTTGACATGGTGACAAAGTCCTGTTAATCTCACTCTTGGCTGCCTCTCTGGCCTCATTCCACGCTACCCTCACCTTCAGCACCAGAGTTCTAGCCCCACAGGCCCTTCTCAGTCCCTGGGAAACATCAGTCCTTCTCAGGTATAGAGCCTTTGCTTAAGCTTTGCCTTTGCTTAGAATGCACCTTGTTCAGATGCCACATACTTAATTGGTAAACTCTTGAACAATCCCCTCACATGAAGGTAATTTCTTCCTCTTTGGATACACATAGCAGTTACTGCATCTCTCAAGAATCTAGCCACTTTTTTTCTTTCAATTGTAGTTTTTCTTTTTTACATATGGCATATCTTGGGAAAGGTGACATGGAGGTATGGAATGAACACAAGGTTTGAAATTAGACCTGGGGTCAAAATGCAGTCTCCTTTTACATGTAGAATTTACCGTGATTCCTTAATGAGATATTACCTCTCTTGCAGAATTATTGTGAAGATAAAGTAAAAATAGGTCTAGCATAGTTAGTGCCTGGAAGTACAGTAGGAGCTCAATAAATATTTATTAAATAGATGAATGAGTGAACGCCAAATACTTTGTGGCATGATTTTTTTTTTCTGGATGAGCAGAATAAGTTACTGAGAAATGCCAGAACTCCTTTAACTTACAATTATATTTTTCATTACATAGGTAGATAGATGGATGGTAGATGCATAGGTGAATGTCTATGAAATGGAGGTTAAGAAATAAAGATAGTTAGATAGAAAGATAACTAGGTAGATGATGGATAGGTGGGTTGATTAGAGGTTGGATGGATAGATAGTTTGGATGAATATCTATTAGATAGATGACAGATGAGTGGGTAGATTAATAGATAGATAGACATGGTAAATACCTATTAGATAAAAAAGTAGATAGAGCTAACAAGATAGACAGATAGATGATAGATAGATATGGCTATACAGATAGGTATAGATACATGAATACAGATATGGATACAGATACAGAAATAGCTATGTATACAGACACCAATATAGACATAGATATAGATATAGTCAACCCGTTTTCTAAAACTCAATCTCACAGCTGCCTCCATCTGCACCAACCTGTTTCTTTAGAACTCCTGGGAGAAAAGGGATATAATTTCCTTAGCAGCATAATCACATCTTTGTGTCTGAAAGGTTCATTCATCTTTCACAGCAGGCTGAGAGTAAGGCTGGGGCAGATCTGAGGTGACATGAAAAAGGAGACGGGGCAGGCTCCAGCAGTTTAATGATGCCCTGTTGACATATGCCTGGATGGTCCAGGACCTGGTATACAAAGGTATTCAGGAGCAGGAGGAGCCTGAGGACTCAGGCAGCTTTGAAGCCCTCACATTGTGTCCATTTCTTTCTTATGGAAACTGGTTCAACAGAAAAGGGGAGAGCGAGATGTCCAAAAGCTGGAAAAATGCAGCAAAAACTGCAGCAGCTCAAGTCCTCAGCCTCTGTCAGGACTTCTGAAAACAGAGCTACAGACCTAGGAAATGGTCTTTTTCTAGATCCATAAGAATTAACTGTGCAGGGTGGAAAGGGGAGGGTATCCCTTAACAGAACAACAGGGCATCACACCAAGCAGGCGAGTTTGCATTTTGGAGTCACCTTTTTCATTCCTTCCTCCTTCACTGCTAACAATGCTGCTCATTGTAAGAGCAGCTTGTGTTTGCAAAGTGCCCAGCATGCTGCTCAATAGACATTCACCCGATAAAAGTTGATTGAATTAAGTTCTACAGAGCGCTATTCTTCCAAACCACTTCCACACACATTATCTTACTTAATGCAAAACTCTGTCAGAAAGGAAAAAAAAAAAAAACAGGCATTTTTAGTGCCCACAAAAATTGCAATTATTCTTGCTTTACAGTTGAGGAAGCTCAATCCTAGAAGTTGAGCACTAGAGGCAACCTCACCAGTAAACGGCTGAGCTAAGATTTAAATCCCAGCAGTTTGACTCTAAATTTACCAAACAAATCTCCTTTATTCTACTACACGACCTTGTTCAAAATAACCACAAGCAATAATAGTGACTGGGCACTGGTGCTTACTTGAAACTTGATGGGGCCTTGGGACCAGGACTGGCTCTTCTCCGGGGGTGAATGGCCACTCTGCAGGGAGATCCCCTGCAAAGGATAAGAATGGCCTTACCGAAGTCAAAATGGAATTACCTTGGGTGATACTCACAGCGAGAAACTCATAACATCTTAAAGATACAGCATTCTTGAAAGCTACAGGGAACTGATAGCCAAAATAAAGGGGAGTGATTTATGAAAGACCACATGGCAATTTAGCAGCAAGGCAACGCTTATAAACCAGGTCTTCTGCCTCTTTTTCTGCTGGAAACAATAAAGCAGAATAACCTGCTTAGATTGCTTACTGGTACCCTTTCCCACCGTGCCCTTGTCCCCAAGCTTCCCGCCCCTCCCATCCCCTGCGCCCGGACCTCCACTCCCGGACTGAGTTTCTCTTTCCCATGGTGTGTTCTCACCTGTCTGTGGATCTTTGGGGGCTGTTGCCTTTGTTGGACTCGCAGTCTGTGTGCCATGGGTGAATGCTCCTGGGATGAGAGGGGAGAGAGGTGAGCCTGCATCTCTTCTAGGGGTCCCTGAGGGAGAAGGGGACCAAGGCCACTAATCCTGCCCTATGCAACGAATGTTGGTTAAGCCAGGTACCAGGCAGGGCTTTAGGAAGCAGAGATGAGGAAGAAACAGAACCCACAATGGAGGTGCTCCCAGTGTGGAAGAGGAAATGGGAAAATCCCGTCATGGCTGTGATACAGGGTGATGGGTGCCATTGAAAACCAGATAACATTGGCAAGGTATGGTGACCCTGCATGGCATGGGAGGGCAATGGTGCTGTGCAGGAAGTGTCCGATGTGGGTGCTCCTGGGCGAAGAAAAAATGAGTTGCTTTTCATTCCTCTGAGTCTTAGTGTACATCTTGCTCCATCCCACCCCTGATAAATTGCCTGTCATTTTCATGAGCAAGTATGGGCTCAGTTCAAGAATTTTTATATCAGGTTCATGAAGCCTTAGTTTAAGGGTCACTCCAGGACTTGATCCTTGCTGTTAAGATTCTGGCCTATGGCAAAACCAGCAGTACAGTCTTCTTGTGGGATATGAGTGAGATAGAAGCTTGAGCAGGCAAGTTCCCTCATAGTGGAAGGAAAGAGGTGAGGCTGAGAAACAGCCGGGGCACAGGTGATAGATACCCAGTTCAGCTGGGACAGGTGACATCTACTCTGGGTCAAGCAGCACAGCAGTTCTGGAGGAAAGTGGGCTTTGTAGGCACAGCAAAGTGCATATATAAAGACCTGGAGGCGTGAGCAGTAAGCAGTGTGCTGTGTCTGCAGTCTGCAGGAGGAAGGCAGAGGGGTGAGGTGAGGCTGAGCAGCAGGCAGGGCACAGCTCCTGGGTCCATCCATCCCAGTTGTCATACTGCTTGTTACTTATTAAGTGCCTCTGCTAGGACCGTGAGTGTTACAGTGTCCAATTAAACACGCTCCCACTCCCAGTGCTGTGTTAGCACCAGAGGTGGACAGTGTGACACATTTGCACACAGGTGACGACAGGAAGGCAACAGAACTCCATGAGGTAATCCTGTTATTTTCTTAGGATGGGTCAGGACAGTCTTTTGACTTCCTTTTAGGCATTGGACTGTAAGTCCCCAAGACAGAAGACACCTATTGATGCTTGCTGCCCTGGTATGTTTCTATGCAGTTCTAGAAGCTGAGCGGCTTTAGCCACACCCAAATACAGAGTTTGCTTCTCTACAGAATCTCAGAGAATTAGCCTTAAAGGGACTGAGGTCAAGAGCAGATGCATGTTCTCCTCTGAAAGGCATCCTGTTGGCCACTACCCTTTCCAAAGTGTGTCTCCCAAGGCTGGTGGCAATGACCCGCTGTGGGTAGGATGGGACAGGTTAGTAAGATTTGCCATTTATTGAGCTGCTGCTATGCACTGAACTGACACCACCTATTTTAATCATCCCAACAATTCTGGAAGTTCCAGGACTCAGTTGAAGATAATTGCCTAAGGTCACCAAGTGGTAGGGCAAGGTTGCAACACAGCTGTAATGTACAGAAACCAGCGCTCGTAGTCCCAGAGCTGTGCTGGTTGTTGCAGTCCAGCAGGCTAAGCTGAAACACACTTTATTTTTTTTCTAAACATAATGCCTAACCCTCTGACACTCATGCAATTGCATCAGCTGTTTATGTAATTGAAGCTATCAAAATAGCATTCACAGAATGGTTTGTGCAATTGAGAATTTGAGCCTGCAATTGAGATTTTTGAGCCTATTTTAATGTAGGTGTACTATTTGTATATGCAACTAAGGTATGCGTTATGTTACATTACATGCATGTGATGTATATGTAATTAATGTGACCATATAAATGTGTATTAATACCAGGCAAAAAGGTAGTTGAACTGTCTTGAGTGGCAATGTTTATTTCTAAGGGTCACTTGTTTAATGGACAATGAAACAGGGAAAAGGAGGAGAAATTGGGGAGTGGGATTACATAAAAGAGAGAAACTAGGGGTCTGTTAAGCAGGAGCTTTCATTCATCTACAGATGGGAAGAAAGAGGTAGTGCAGAGGAAAGAAGAAGGAAGAGTTTGCTTCATGATCATTAATTATACTGCTTATGTTTTCTTAGTTTTCTGTATGTGTGTTATATTTCAAAAATTTAGAAAAGTTTTCAAAACAGACAACGCTAAGCTGAATTTAAAACAGGAGATGTAGAAATGAGTATCTTCTCTTACCCCAGGTAGAGCTGGACTGGGATGGGCTGCCAGGTGTGGCCATTATCCCAGCAGGAAGCACCAAAAGGCTCATAGTGTTCATGGCTTCCTTGGCCCCTGCAGCAGTCGGTGGGGAAGAACGAGTTTCTGAGGGATACCCTCCAGGATTTTTCTCACCGCTGGTCTGAGTCCAGGGCATGGACGATACGGAAGCCCATGTCTGTCTGTCAGCTGTCACCCACTGAGTTCTGGCCACCCTCCTGGTAGCTGCACATTCAAAGTGATAGTAATAGGGAGTTGACATGCTTGACCACTTTGATTCAAATATAAAATTGCCGAGACATTGAAATGTTATCAAAAGGCAAACACAATGTGCATGTGTAACACAGATAATCCAGGGGCTTAAACTTTACACTCAACTGAAATAAAGGGACCAAATTCATGTCTGTTTTCCTAAGCACCAATAAACACACACATACCCACTGTCCCACCCCCACACACATACACACACACTCACACCTCTCCAAATCTCTAGGACCTCCAGGCATTGTGTTTGGGGGTCAGTTGGCTGTCTCTCAAATTTATGCAATACATTGCTAATCATATGACGTAGTGGAAAGCTTGTGGGGTCTGAGCTGAGGCAATTCAAACAGATTAGTTGTGCCTCTGTCTCCTCCATGAACTTTGGGGCAAATTACTTAACTCTTTTTCACTTCCTCATGAAAAGGAGGATACTAGTATTAGTAATAACACCTGCCCTCCAACATAACAGGGTTGTTATTAGTAAAGACAAATCCTTGGTCATGCCTGGAATCCCAGCACTTTGGGAGGCTAAAGCACCTGAGGTCAGGAGTTCGAGACCAACCTGGCAAACATGGTGAAGCCCCATCTGTACTAAAATACAAAAAAATAACCAGGCATGGTGGTGGGTGCTTGTAATCCCAGCTACTTGGAAAGGCTGAGGCAGGAGAATTGCTTGAACCTGGATAGTGGAGGCTGCAGTGAGCCGAGATTGAGCCACTGCACTCCAGCCTGGGCAACAGAGCAAGACTCCCTCTCAAAAAAATAAAAATATCTTCCCTCATTGGTCTTTTAAAAAAATTGTTGGATGTTCTTACCTGTTTATTCCCATAGCAGAAATTAAAGTTAGTTTTTTCAAGTTTTACAAAAACAAATTCTATTGAATAATTTTACATTTATAACTTAAGTTGGGGACAGTTGCTTTCTTTAAAATACTCAGATTTCTCCACCCGAACATGGTGTATTTCTTCATTTATTTAAATATTCCTGAATTACTCTCATTAAAATTTTGCAATTTTCTTTGTTTAAAACCAGCACTTTTATGTGTAGGATTATAGGCAGGCATTTTATGATTTTTTTTTCTTGCCACTAGAAATAACATCTTTTTGTCATATGACCCTGGAAAGTTTCTGATTTTGTATAATTGTCCTGATGCCAGCTATTGTGCTAATTTTTTGCAGTAAATCTGTTTTTCTATTAAATGGAGTTGATTTCTTTTCCTCTCCACCATCCAGTCATCCTTGTTTCCTTGCCTGCTGACACCTGTCAATTCCTATCTCTTGGGGAAGCCTGTGTCTCCTCTATGCTAAGGTAGGAGCCCTCTCTGTGCTTTCTGTGTACAATAGTACTTTGTACACTGGATCATAACTATTGGTTTACTTGCCTGAGCTCCCTTCTAGGTCTGAGAGCTCAGGAAGGAGAGGGAACATTTATAGACCCATGTTTTTAATAGGTAGCCTAGTGTCTGGAAGGAAATATGTTCCCTAAATAAATAAATAAATAAATGAATTCTGATGACTTAATGAATGATTTCTGATGACAATATTGTCTCAGTGGGTCCATTGTTGGAACCCACTGAGAAAATATTGACTCTTAATGAGTTACCATTTTATATGATTTCCGAATAGGAAAAGTAAGATAAGCATGCTTTCTGTGTCTTCGGTGATGACACTGCTGATCATGTACACAAGAGGCTGAGGAGGCAGGAGCCTCCTGCAGGCCACTGGTGACAAATTTTCCACGGGTGTCAAGTCATTATCACATTCTTGGCATCATTATCCAGCCAGCTACAGGCTGATCTATCCATGCCATAAAATATTAACTTCACTTCACCATTTTCTGTGAATTTCAGGGGTGATATCGCTAAATGCTTTGCTGAAATATAAATACTTTTTCCCACAATGTTCTGTGATTATGTAAGACATTAGCACTGAAGGATACTGGATGAAGCATACCAGGGAACTCTCTGTAATATTTTTGTAACTGTCTGCATTATTTTTGCAAATCCTTGTGAGTCCTAAACTATTTCACAATAAAAAGTCATCAAAGTACATATTAGAAATACATTATGTCAATGGCATTTTCTGCCTTGGCTGGATCTTACAGAGCCCATACTGGCTCACACAGATCTGCTATTTAAGTAAGCTGAAGCGTAACTTCAATTGGTGGAGAAGGGATGAAGGTAAGGATTTTGCTTATATATGTGAGCCTAGAGAAAACAGGAGCAAGACACAGCAAAGGGGAGGAAAGAGTGAGAAAGCATCTTACCTAAGGCTGGGAGAGCACGGGAGGCACTGGCCCATGTGGCTGTGGCCCTGGCAGGAAGCTCAGGAGGCTGGCCTGTGTTCAGAGTCTCCTCTGCTTCTGAAGGAGCAGCTGTCTCTATCCAGGAAGAGGTTCTCAGAGCAGATGCCCAGGGTGTGCTCTGGGCCCAGGATCCGGGGCTTGTACTTGGCAGTGTTTTCTGGCTTTTGGTTGTGGGGGTTGAAGTCCTACTAGTTCCCCTGGTAGCTGCACCTTCAGGGAGGCAGTCAGTGGCAACTTTAACATGCTTGACACTTTGGACATTAAAAAACTGAAAGGTCATTGGACAGCAAATATACTGAACATGGCGATTCAAACCTTTCTCCAAACAGCATCAAATAAAACCAAAAGAAGTATTTCTCCATGAAGTCAAATTAAGATAAAATATAAATTTGCAAAAAAAGTCTGTGATGAATGACACTGTACAGAATGCATAGCTGTCAGGCTTAGAAGTATCAGGTATTTGTTGTGTTTCGTGAACAGATCCTGACCCTGTCCGAGCCCTTCTCCCACCTGCAGCCCTCAGCTACTCCGTGGCTCTGGTACATGTTTCTGGAAAAGGAATTAGGCTCCTCCATGTGCCTTATGGATGCAACTAAAAGCCAAAAGTGGAATTCTGGGGAATCAGAAGCTTCCAGACAGAAACAGCTTGAAAAATAGGCTCCCACAGAGATAGCAGGAGGGCTTAATTCAGAGGGAAATCTACCCAGTGTCCTTGGTTGCTCCATGAAGAAAAGAAGGAAGAGGGCTCAAGTATTAGTTTTACCTTCTGTCTTCCCTATGGAAGGCTCAAGTGGGGGCAGGCAGTGGATATGAGGATGACAGGCTCCTATTAGCCCATAGGGAAGACAAAGACTGCCCTACAGCCTTGTGGGCAGAGCCTGTATTGGATTTTGATTCCCACCTCCCCTGAATGCATGTAGAACACAAACTATGCAATCGCAGGAGTGGCCTTTCAGCCTCATTTTCTTTCTCTGCCTACTTCTGGGCCCACTAACACCTGCATGCCTCACCAGCCTGAGCCTTGCTCCCAGATAAACTGAACATGGAGCTAAGTGCATCCAGCTAAACTATCACTCAGCCGGGGTACAGGCTTTCAGGCACATCAACTTCAGCATCAGCTTGTAGGTATGTTCTCTATTCCTAAGCATTTGCTCTTGTTGAAGGAACACAAAGTGGGAGATCTCATTGAGACAAGCAGGTAGAAATGTGATGGAAAGACTCTCCAAATAAATGAGATTGACTCAAGCCTAAGATCTGTCCTGAGAATTGGGCAGGGAAAGGCAATCTGCCAACTGCCCATTTCATCTTCTTATCGACCAGCCTTGTCCACACAAATTGAGCTTCCTGCTACAGCATAACCAAAAGATGCCCTACAATAAATATAAAGCAAAGTAGCCCATGAAGTGGAACTGCAGATTTCTTGTATCCTTCATTGCACTTCAAGAGACAGTGAAGAAAAGCCTACTATGGGCAAGGCACCGAGGGGAAGGCAGGCTATGAGGCTGAAGGAAACAACTTCTACCTTCTAGTTTCATTCACCAAGAAAACACACATGTCAATTGTGATGCAGCCTGGAGTAACGTAGAGTCCAAATGACATACGAGAGCTGTATTGTGGCTCCATAGAAGACAAAGGCCGATTTTGATTGGGGGATCTTTAAAAAAGAGGAGGCAGTGTCTAAGCTGGCAACTGACAGGCAAATAGGGTTCTGAAATATGGAAAGGCAGGGAAGGGGTTTCATGTAGAGACAACGGCATGGCCAATTTGGCACAGAGGCGCATGAAGGTGGGGCATGGTTTGGTAGGGACTGGGTATTACAGGTTGGCCAGGTCTCCAGAACAGGTCACAAATTCAGTTATCTACAAAAACCAAGTAGCTAATAGGAGAGAAAAAAAAAAAAAACCAAGCAGTTAATATGAGGAAAAAAATGTGCAAGGCAAGAGGGGGCAGAGAGGACTATGGAAAAGAGGAAAAAGGTGCTCTTCCTAATAGGGAATGAGGGTGGCAGCTACTCAGTTCCAGTTGCTTGTTGCCATGTGTTGGGGGAGGATCTAGGATTCCCAGACCTTTTGCAGGAGAATCCAGAAATTCATTTTTTTTTTAAAGTTCTCTGATTTTTCACATGGTAGAGCTAAACATCATGCCTGAGGGCAGCTTTCAGTTCTTAGTGTGCCAGGTGGGACCCTGGTCTGGAGAGTCCATGGGAGGAAGCTGGGAGGTTTGTACTCACCCAGGACATCGGACATGCCGCTGGCAAATGTGTAATTGATAACAGGGTATTTTTCCGCCATCTCCCAGAAGTCAGAAAGATTCCTTCCTGCAAAAATCACACCAACAGGATCAGATCTTGGGTTTCACCTGCTGGACAGTTGTGTCTAATTCTCAGCCCAGAGAGCTTGTCAAAAATGGCTAGTGGTTTACCTGACTTTCCTGTCATCACGCAGATGAAGATGCAATCTGATTCATTACTTTGACTCACTGTAAGACAAGCCAGTACACAATAGGACTTAGCAATGGGTCTGAAGCTGTAAGTCTTTGGCTCAAACAAAAATTAAGCTGAAGGTACCTAACTTAGAATAACATAGGAAAATAAGGCTGACTCTACCCTTAATGCAGTCCTGATTTTCTTGTTTCTTTATTTAATTTGGCTGGGTTTGAGGGATGGTGTAGTGACTAAGGGCAGAGTCTCTGAGGTCAGCTTCCATGGTTACAACATCAGCTCTGCCACTTACTAGCTGTGCAAACATGAATGAACTGCTTGACCACTCCAGGACTCAGTTTACCCCTTTGTAAAATGGTGACAATTCAAATCCCACAATCCCTTATTTGCCATTCCTAAATCCTTAAATCTCTGTAAGATAACGTTTTGTGTGAGCTTGGTACCAAAACTCATTTGGTGGCAAAACCTGACTTGAAAAATGTGAGGCTATGACAGTCTTTATCCTACTTGGTATAAAAAGCTGAACATTTTGCTAAATTACTATTAATATGTTTGATTACACTGGGCTCATCTGGATGCTATTGGAGAGGTTACGTCAGGTATGGCGTGGACACCCTATTAGATCTTCAAAAGCCTGAAAACTTCTGAGTTCCCTAAACATACTTTTCCCTGACGATGCTGCCTAAAGAACTGTGGACTTGTAGTTGCATGTCTCTCATAGAATTACATGAAAATCCAAGGAGAGAATGGGAGCGATGCCCTAGATATAGTGCCTAGCAGATAGAAGAGCATGGTAGCATGGCACGTATTTACCTATGTAACAACCCTGCACGATCTGTACATATACCCTAGAATGTAAAGTATAATAATAATAAAAAAAGAAGAGCATGGTAGCTAATCATTATCATTATTATTAATGTATTACTATTATTATATATATTAGCATAGTGACATAAGAGCACAGGCTAAGAGCCAGATCACTTGGCTTAGAATTCTGCTTCTGCAGAGTGATTTTGAGCAAGTTGCTTAACCACTCTGTGTCAGCTTCCTCACCTGTCAAGTAGGGATAAATATAGTAGCTGTCCCATAAGGTTGTAGTGAGGATCCATTGAGAGAATACATGGGAAGCCCTTGGAAGATTATCTGACACCTAGTGATAGCTATTACTATTTCCTTTCTTCCTTCTTCCTGCTTTTAAAACAGTAACTGCTTCATAGCGCATCACACCATCTTTCTGCTGAGACCAATTGTTAGACCGTGGAATAGATCCGTGCTTTTTAAAGTGGGTCCCTATTTTCCTGGGGGTTACATGAAACCACCTTATAAATGAGGTCTGTCTTTCTTTCTTTCCCTCTCTCTCTCTCTCTCTCTCTTTTTGATGGAGTCTTGCTCTGTCACCCAGGCTGGAGTGCAATGGTATGATCTTGGCTCACTGAAACCTCTGCCTCCTGGGTTCAAGTGATTCTCCTGCCTCAGCTTCCTGAGTAGCTGGGATTACAGGTGCCCACCACCATGCCCAGCTAACTTTTGTATTTTTTAGTAGAGATAGGGTTTCACCTTGTTGGCCGACTGATCTTGAACTCCTGACCTCACATGATCCACCCACCTTGGCCTCCCAAAGTGCTGGGATTACAAGCGTGAGACACTGTGCCTGGCCAAATGAGGTGTATCTTTCTTAACTGTACTTCAAACGTGGGCTTAGGCTCCATATAGATTTAAATCTGAATTCTGGGACCAAACTTGAGCAAAATATTTAATCTCTCTGGACCTCAGTTTTTTCCTCCTTACAATGGGAGTATAGCTACCACCAGAAGCTCTTTTCTTGAGTCTGCCTAGATTCCTTTAACTTTTGAGACTTGGATTCTTCCTCCAATTTTCTGGATCCAAGAAGTGTGAAGACTTAAATATTGGTGTATTTACTGGTGTGGAAACTGGACCACACTGATTATCCAAACAAAGATTACATGAAGGCTCCTGGCAGTTTAGGCTATAGCAGGGGATGGGGTGAGGAACACACTATGCCTGAGTATCTACCAAAATAGACGCCAAACCTCACAGTTGCCAAAGCATTTTCAAGATGAACATACCTGAGAGGATGGAGGTTGACTTAAAAATCTCTGTGAGGTAGCTGGTAGAATTTCCAATGATGTCTACCAGGAGGGCTGTAAAATCTGCAAGACAAATTTAGGAGGTTTAAATTTCTGCTTCAGAGACAAAGGGGGAAAAATATACTATACTTGGATTTTTCGGAGTAGATTTTACAAGTTTGATTTAGTTTAGTGTATTGAGGAATATCAACAATGATACAGAGAAATACTAATAATTCTAAAAAAAGAAAAGTCTTGATTTCAGGCAGGTAGGAAACTTTGGATCCACTGTTAAAATCCTCTTTCATCTTCTATCTTCCTGTCTCCCCACCTTTCTCTGCTAACATCTAAGAGCTGTGAAAGGCCACATTGTTGAATAATGTTTTTTCTGGGGGGATTTCCCCACTGTTACTCCATCTGATAGGAAGCAGCCCCCAGACATGCAATGTAAATTTACAGCCTTGGGGGTTAGAAAGTGAAAATGTAATGTCAAATGTTGTGGTGGGTTGTAAACTATGAACAGCAGAGACCAGACACTTTATAAAATCATCACCAGGAATCTTTCCTTCTGCCCACTTTGTTAAGGGGACTGATGGTGGTGAGGTGGGCATCTGAGACATTTTTTCAACATTTCAGGTTATAGAATCATTGTGAACTTCTCTCTCAGCTGAGTTTGAACAGGGTCATTTCCTGACATGGTGGATACCATTCACTGTGAAAATTACTAATATTCCTCTAGTCAAACAGCTGCCACCTCCTTCTTTGTTCCTTTATGGCTTTCCACGATCCAATAACTTCTTGGCTTCTAAACATGGCAAAGTGTTTGAGGAGCCCCAGTCATTTTCTAGAGAGGAAGCTTTTTGGGTCCAATGGACGATTTCCCATTATGCTGTGTGTGAATGTTCTTTACATTCATGAATGGGATCATGAATTTTGGCAGGAGCGAGCTAACTTGAAAATACAGAACCAAGAGAGGTAGGAAAATATAATGTGACAATGAACGGAATGTGTAGCATGCCAAGACCAACAGAAGATAGGCGCTACTATGTGAGAGCCAAAGCCATGAGGCGCTCTCACTGCATCCACACAGGCACATTTTAGCCTCCTGGAGGAAGAGCACCTATGCAGTGTGTAGTGCACCTCTGCAGGCACAGACACCTATCTATGCAGAAGGTAGGCAAACATGGGGACCCTCTTTTCTCTATCTCTTTAGTCCACTCTGTTCCTAGTCAATTGTGGAAGCTGAGGAAGGGTATTATCTCTTAGTTATTTCGTACATTTTCTTTCTACTTCTAAAAATTATCCTTTATTAATCCATTTATCTAATAAATATTCATTGAGCATTTGCAGTGTGCTATACACTTACTTATCAGGTACTGGAGAGTTGTGTAAGATACACAGAAGAAGCTGAAGTTAGTGGGAAATCAAGATTCATAAACAGACCAGTAAAGTGCAACTTGGAAGCTGTTATTAGTCTTGCATAGATGCTATGAGCATGGCTTTGAAACCAGACACAAAAGATGGAGTTTACGTTTTGCTCAAGGCTCAGAGAGAGGGTGTAACTTGTTCAAAGTTCCAGAGTATGTGGCACAGCTTGGATTTCAGCTCAAGTCCACCTTGGGCCAAAGCTTCCACTATTCCCAGTATTGTTACCGGCACTCATGCCACCTCTTGCTCAATGCATTTTGTCAACTCTCCTTTTAGAATGTTTTTCACAATCTGCTTTTTAGGCTTGGAAGAAAGCTAGTTATTATTAACTCAAAGATATTCTTTGCATCTTTGAAAGTTTGAATTATCTAATTTACTAGCAATGCTCAAAATGAATGATTCATGACTACCTTCACATATAAATGGAAGGTAGAATTTAAAAAATCTTTTTTACCTATCCATTTGGTAATGATTTAAGACTGTTTCTTAAGGCTCAGTGTTGGGAAATGTGAGTGGAAAAACATAGGCATTCAAACATTGTTGGTAAAACTGTAAACGTGTGGAAGACTTTTAGAAGACATTCTAGCAATTCAAATCATTATAATATTGTTTCCCTGTCAGCCAACAATTCTATTTTGAGGGCTTTATCCTACAGAGGTAATTGGGCAAGCTCTCTAAGTGATTTTACACAGGTGTTCATCAGAGCATTGTTTATAATTGCAAAAATATGAGGAATTAGCCAAGTTTCCAACAAGAGGAGACAAATTAAATAAATCATAGTACATTCTTTCCCAATGAATACTAAGAATTTATGTGAAAGATTAGGCATACTAGTATTCACCAGGATGAAATGGTTTTTTTAAATACTTATAGATTAGTTTGAGGGTGGATTATAAAATTGTATGGAAAAAAAGAAAGATACTGATGATTATCTTTCAGTATGGATTCTCCCACCTTCCTTTAGCAAGAGAGTATCAGATTTTAGTTGGGAGCATGGTGATTTAACACAATGACTATAATTTCAAACTTGCTTTGCAAGTGTGGGTAGCCATGAGACTAAATTCTGGGCAATAGGATGTAAGAGGGAGAAATGTGAATGTTTTTAGGCTGTGAGTTCATAGTGAATGTGCATACCTTCTGGGATGGTTTGGATCTGTAATCCCTAATACTGGAGGGGAGTGGGGGGGAGGTGATTGGATCATGGGGCACACTTCTCATGAATGGGTTAGCACCCTGCCCTTGGTGCTGTTCTCATGATAGTGAGTGAGTTAGTGTGAGAACTCTTTGTTGAAAAGTGTGTAGCACCTTTCTCCTCTTTCTCCCTTGCTCCTGCTTTAGCCATGTAACATGTGCCTGCTTCTCCTTCCCATCTGCCATGATCATAAGTTTCCTGAGGCCTCCCAGAAGCTGAGCAGAAGCAGTCATGCTTCCTGTACAGCCTGCAGAACCACAAGCCAATTAAACCTCTTCTTTTCATAAATTACCCAGCCTTAGATATTTCTTTATAGCAATGTGAGAATGGACTAATACACCTTCAAAATCCTTTCTCCCCTTCATTGTAGCTGGAGTGTGGATGTGCTGGCAACCTACCTTAGGCTATGAGAACAGATCTTTATGAAAAGCAGAGCAACAAGAGAGAAGGGGGTTGGGCCCCAAAACCATCAAAACCATTAGAGCAGCCCTGGCATGTCTGCATGCCCAGATTATCACACATGAAAGCAATGAACTTCTACCTCTTTAAATTAGACTATTTTGGAGTCATTTGTTATAGTAGCTCACCTTGTATTCTAAATAATACAGAGAATGTGTTCCTATATGTAGAGTGGGATGTCTAGACAGATGGGTAGACATTAGTTGGGCACATAGGTGGGTAGGTTAGATAAGTAGCTTAGATGACAGGTGGGATAGATAAGTGGGTTGTATAGGTGGTGTAGACAGCCTTGGGTAACATTCATCAGCATGTTAATAGTGACTATCTGTGGATGGTGGGATACCAGTGATTTCTGGCTTCTTGGTTTACCTCTTCATGTTCCACAGCATTTTGACATCCAGTACATTATTTTTAAAATCAAGAAAATTTAAGTCATTTTCAGTTAGGGAGAAAAACAGGAAAATATGCAAATACACCCTCAAAGGAGGGCTATAGGTCAGAGTTGAAACCATTATAAATAAAATGATCCAGACCTAAAGATCATCCACAAAGATATCTTCCCCAAAGGCTTTGAGTAATGGCAAGTTGTTGGCCTAAGTGTACAGCCTGTCACGGTAGCACTGTGACTTCTTGTCATGCCTTGCGAAAGTTGCTGTGACCTACCAGAAGAACAGCATGCAGTTTTGTCAGTAGATAATCATCCATGGATCATTCTTTTCATATAATTGTTTCAAGTGTGTGGAAATATGATTTGACTCATGAAATAAAATTATAAACTTTCTCCAGGCAGATGTAACTTTTTAAATCTTATTTTTATCTTTCACACAATCAGGATAAGGGACACATCCAGCACAAAATTCTACCCTCAGTGGGGGTTAATGAAATGGTGAGAAAGGTGTGATTATGAAGATGGTTTTTCCTCACAAATGTATTTATTTATGAGATTCATGGGGTAAATCACATAACATAATAGACATAAAGTACTCAGTGTCAGGTCTGGATATGTACTCATTAAATGTTAGTAATTATTTCCTATAATATTTTCACAATATTTATTTTAGAAATTCTACTTTGTGGGGGAAATAATCTGAAACAGGGAAGAGTTTATGTGCAAAGATGTTCAATGCAAAATTATTTATATTAAGAAAAACCTAGATACACTCAAATGTCTGAGAACAGCCTAGTGGCTAAGAGAATGCTTGCATTGACTGGTTACATAGCCATTACAAACATTTATGAAGAGTGTTATATGGTGGAAAATATTAATATTAGACTAAGTGGGGAAAACTACAAGAGGCTTTGGTTGCCTTGAGTGCTGGCTTCCCTCACAATATAGACTTTAACAAGCAGCCCAAAGCATCCTTAGATCGTGCCGCTTCTATGTACAGACAGTCACAATGGCTTCCTTCTTATTCCTGGGTGAAAATTAGAATCCTCACAGGAGATCTTAAACTTTTATGTGATTGCAACACCCTCTCCATTTTGCCCTCACCAATCAGAGCTCATTTCTTACAACTGTGTCCTGGTTAACCTGCTCCAGCTATGCTGGCTTCTCTGTTCCTCATGCTGCTACTGAGGCCTTTGTCTGGAACACTGTCCCCAGGAATAATCACAGGGCTGGTACCTCACATCCTGAAGGTCACCCCTCAACCCACACTTCATTTGGAGAAGACTTTCCTGACCACTCTCCACACAGCAGTAGCCCCCACCATGACTTTTCTCTCCAGCATTCCCCTGCTTCATGGTCCCCATGGTCAGGCTGTCAGCCTACATACCATGTACTTGCAGTGCATTTATTTACTCTCTGCTCCTCCCTAGGAATCTACATCCCACTGGGGCAGGAGGTGTGTTCACTTTGCTCAGCATGCTTTGTGATTGGCTCATAATGTGTGCTCAAAATGAATTACTGAATGGTTGAATTAGTGGTGAGAAAAGTTGTCACTTTTATTTTCCAGTGTTCTCTAAATATAGGAACATGTAATACTTTAAAGTTTTAATTATAAAACAACCACATGAATATACTCCTCTTGGAAAAAAAAAAGTTCAGGTAGTCTAAGGCTCTCTCAGCCAGCATTCTTCCACTCTGAAACACATACTCCAATCTTCTTTCCAGAAGGAATCACCTATCTGGTGCCCAGATATGTGTTCTCATCAATAACATCATGCTCTTTGTATTTTTGTGTAACTTTCTTTTTCTAATTAAAAATCTTGGCTGGGTACAGTGCCTCACACCTGTAATCCTAGCACTTTGGAAAGCCAAGAAGGGCAGATCACCTGGGTTTCGGAGTTCGGGACCAGCCTGACTAACATGGAGAAATCTCATCTCTACCCAAAACACAAAATTAGCCGGGCATGGTGGTGCATGCCTGTAATCCCAGCTACTCGGGAGGCTGAGGCAGAAGAATCACTTGAACCCAGAAGCCAGAGGTTGCGGTGAGCTGAGATTGCACCATCGCACTCCAGCGTGGGCAACAAGAGCAAAAACTCTGTCTCAAAAAAAAAAAAAATCTCTTGGAAGTTTTTCCATACACAGGCCAAATTTGGGCACTCTTACTCAGTTATGTATTATTTGTGGCTGTTTTCCAAAGTTTAATTCTATGGGAGACAACTTAACCATTTTCCCTCATGATGGATATGTAGGTTGTTTCTCAATTTTGCAATTAAAACAATGTTTCATGAACATTTTCCCTCTGTCCCTTTTAGACACACAACTGTTTTTCTAGGGTAAGACCAAGAGAAAAATATTACTGGGATAATGAATGTACACATGGTTAAGGGTAGTGGATAGCACCATATTTTCCTGTCTTACATTGAGGAAAAACACAAACTTATCTAAAAGGACACAAACGAAATTGGAAAAGCTGCAAGCCTCATGGTTAGCTGTACCCACCTGATAAGTCATTGGTCTGATTGTTTAAACAGTAGCAATACCTTGTAGGGAATTTGGTGGGGTCCACCGTCTTCAGGTTAGAAACTGTGTAGAGAAAAGATTCAACAGAGATCCTGACATACAGACTGGCACTGAAACACATCCCCCACCCCCATCACCATCAAGAACAGCCAGCCAGCACTCACTGTTGTAGACAGCTACAGAAAACTTGTGGAAGGCAAAGGAGCTGTAAGAAGTGACACTCAGCAAGGAGAAGAACTTCTTGCTATCTGCCAAAACATATGAGATAAAGAGACAGACAGAAATGCCTACTAATGTAACAATAATACAAATAAGTAAACAGTCCCTAGAAATTAATGAAAATAAAGAAACAAGAATAAACTAAAAAGTAATACAAATAAAAAATAATAAGCAAAGTAAAATTAAACCAAAAAACTGAAGAGTATGTATCATTTGTCTATAGTTTCCTGATTCATCTTCAAGCTGTGCCGGCTCTCTAAATAAAAGATTCCAAAGTGTATTAGGCTCCTGAAGCTGCTGTAACAAATTACCACAAACTTGGTGGTATAAAGCAGCAGAAATTTGTTCTCCCCCAGTCCTGGGGACTAGAAGTCTGGAACTCAGTAGGGCATACTCCCTTCAAGGTCTCTAAAGGAGACTCTGTTCTTGCGTCTCTCAGCTCTGGCAGCTGCCTGTGTCCCTTGGCTTGTGGCCACAACTCTCTGTTCTGTCATCATATGGGCTTTTCTTCTGTGTGTGTCTCTCTTTGCCTCTTTCTCATAAGGACCCTTGTGGTGGCATCTGGCACAACACAGATAATCCTGGGCAATCTTTAACTCAGTTGATCAATCTGTTATATCAGATGATATTCACTCTTTTGACATAGCAGCATTTACAGATTCTGGTAATTATTAAGTGGATACCTTTGACAATGTTTAGTCTATTACAGAAAGGAAAGGGGATTTTTTTTTTTAAACCAGGAACACAAAATAAACAATCAAGTTTAGGAATACATGCATGAGCATCTTACCTACTCTCCATCAGTGCCTGCTCTTGATTTGTATCTAGAAGACAGTGCAGTAGAGGAAGGTCTTTCCAGACCATGATATGGGAATTGCCTGCCTGTATCAACTAACCTGGTGCACTTATTAAAAAGGCACATTCCTGGGCGTGACCCCAGATGCAATAAATCAGATGGTAAAGAAAGGGGAGAAGTGGGTATGCTCAGGGTTCAGAATTTTAACAAAGTTATCAGGTGATTTTTTTTTGAGACAGGGTCTTGCTCTGTCACTCAGGCTGGAATACAATGGTGCAATCACAGCCACTGCAGCCTCGACCGCTCAGGCTCCAGTGATCCTCCCACCTCAGCCTCCTAAAGTGCTGGGATTATGGGCATGACCCACTGTGCCGGGCCTCAGGTGATTTTTATTCATATAAATTTGTGACCCACTGTGATGGTGGCTGGAATAGCAGAATCATTAGACTTTGGTGCATGCAAATCACCAGTGGTGCCCATTCCCCCTCAGCTCTCTGGCTGTTGCCTTCTGGAGATCCTAATGACATACACTGGGTGGGAACCAGACTCTATTTAACAAGCTCCTTAGAAGAATGCGATATACACCAAAATGTGAATACTACAATACTCCATTTCCTCAAGTTTTTTTTTTTTTTTTATGATAAGAATCACCAATAGCACTTGCTAAAAATGTACATTTAGTACCCCTTCCAAGATCAGGTGGATCAGAATCTCCAGAGCAGGAACCTGGGGAGATGAATATTTAGTAAGCATGTCAGATGCTTCTTATTGTGCGACAAGTTTGGGAACCTTTGGGCTAGAACACAAACCTGGATTAAACAGTTCTGAATTCCATTCTATATGGCAATGGGCATGCCTCAATGTCTGCACGTAGAAAATGTGAGTCAGGGTACCACTGCATGGAGGTTATGCAAGGATTAAATGAGTCATTGGAAGAGTTTTGAGCTCCTTGAAGGTAGGATTTATGACATTTGAGTCTGCAACATTTCACAGAGCCCAGTTCAGGGCCTTGCAGAGGAAAGGACAGGATTAATAGCTCAAGGCTGGGAGGGCTGAATGTTTCTGCAGCCCATTCCTCCATCTGACGCTTCAGTCTCTGCACAGCACCCTCTTCAGGCAGATCGCTGCCTTCTTATCCTGTACCTCTGAGGCAGCCCTATCCGCAGTGACTTTCATGAGAGCAAATTGGGGACAGGAGCTATATTTCTGTGATTTACAGCTACGGGCTTTGGGATAGGAATAGAGAATAATGTTGATGGGTAAACACCTAAATGAACAAGTATAGAGCCACCAAGCACAGTTGTGCAGTGTGTGTATTGCACAGTCCTAGAGAATGCCATTTATATAGACCTCAATGCTGAATTGGCATTCTCCATCCCCCTTATTCTAAATAACACTTGTCATTACCTATTTATTGTGTTTATTATTTGTTTTTGGTTACTCCTTCAACCACTAGAATGGAAGCTCCCTCAGGCAAGAGTTTTTTGGTTTTTGTTTACTGCATTACCCTCCAATACTTAGAAGAGTACCTGGCATGGGATAGGTGTTCTATCAATATTGATTGAAGAAAGTGAGAATAAATAATGAAGGCAATGAGGAATGTACACTAGGGATCTTTCAGCCTTTGCTATCATTCATTAAGTATGTGTTACATACAAATCATGTTGCTAGATGCTAAATAACACAGAAAGAAGATTGCAATAATATTGTAATCATAATATTGTCTTAAAAAGAGAAAATCAGAATCATATTAACATAATCAATTCGTAATTATTGTTAGTTTATGGCAACAGAGTTACAATTACAAACATACCATGTCTGGAATGCAATTTTGCTCTCAAAATTCTTATAAACTTTATACGTCATTTTGAGTTAGGTAGGACAATGAATTCTGCATTCTGTTTTTGTTTTTGAGACAAACTCTTACTCTTTCTCTCAGGCTGAAATGCAGCGGTGTGATCACAGCTCACTGCAGCCTCTGCCTTCTGGGTTCCAGCAATCCTCCCACCTCAGCCTCCCGAGTAGCTGGGATCACAGGCATGCACCACTGCACCAAGCTAATTTTTGTATTTTTTGTAGAGATGGGATTTTGCCATGTTGCTTAGGCAGTTCTCAAGCTCCTAAGCTCAAGCAATCCACCAGCCTCAGCTTCCCAATGTGCTGAAATTTTAGGCATGAGACATTGAGCTCAGCCTATTCTCCACTCTCAACACCAAGAAACTGAGACACAGAAGCAAAGTGTCTTGTCAAGGTAACAGAGAGGTTTAAAAAAGATGCTAGTACAAGAAAAAAATGGACCTGGATTGTGCTTTAAAAAAATGATTATCTGGTCAGGCTCAGTGGCTCATGCCTGTAATCCCAGCACTTTAGGAAGCTGAGATGAGTGGATCACAAGGTCAGGGATTTGAGACCAGCCTGGCCAAGATGGCAAAACCCCATCTCTATTAAAAATACAAAAATTTGCCTGGTGTGGTGGCAGACACCTGTAATCCCCACTACTTGGGAGGCTGAGGCAGGAGAATCGCTTGAACCTGGGAGGCGGAGGTTGCAGCAAGCCAAGATCATGCCATGGCACTCTAGCCTGGGTGACAGAGCAAGACTCCATCTCAAAAAAGAAAAAAAAAAGATTACCTTTTAATGCTCTACTCAGCATCCCATTCACAAGCTCTGTCAGGTTGAGTGCGGACAGATCGATTGACCCTGCAGGCAGCTCTGAAAGAGATTCAGAGAAAACGTCACTGGCAGGCTTTTCTTGGCGAGAGAAAAATTCCACATTTCCAAACTTCAGGCAGATATTCAAACTTCTTTGCACATGTGCTGAACACAAACCAAGTGCCAGGCACAAGGGTTCCAAGTCAAGAGGAGAGCCCTGACCTCAGGAGGTGATGGTCAACATAGTGACAAATAAGATAAGGAAATTCCAGTGAAGCACAAGAGACATATACTTTTAGTGACTATTGCATGTTTGCATTTGGAGAGATTTGGGATTCATGAAAGATATCTCAACCATAATGGGAAGACCAAGCGCAATGCAGGAGTTCTCAGCAGCTCTGTGTTTGAAAGTAAGTGCCCCATGTAAACGCAGGGTCCACCCACCATGGCTGAGCATTGACATCACCTGGAAATATATATTTTCTAATTACACAATTCCAGTGCATGGGCTTTATCCTCAGAAATTCAGAATTAATAGGTCCAGGACCTGACCCAGGATGGAAGGAGAAATCTCCCAGCAGTAGCAGTAGTGGCAGTGGGCAGCGGGTTGAGTTAAAATTCCCGCTTCCCCCAGCTAGTCCTTAAAGATTTGGAAACAACAGTTGACAAGATGGAAATAGTTGTTGATGCTCCTGTTTATTCAAACACTCTCTTCTTCAGCCTTTGCTTAATGATCAGGTAATAATTAGGGAGATGATGTTGGCTCCACTGTAGGAAAGAACAGAGGTTTAGAGAAGTGGAGGAATTGCTCCGCAGCTCAAGCCACCCGGGGATTTTGGGGAGAGAAACTCACCCGTGGTAGCGAGAAATGCCACACCTTTCTCCTTCCTCTCTTCTCCTCTAAGGCCAGACACTAGGAAGAAAACAGTTTTCATGAGAAAAATGCAAGTGGTTACAGTTCCTACCCCCAGGAACTGAAGAAGCCTTGGAAGCCTCTCTGGCAGCTGCCCTCTGTGTGAATCACTGGCAGACACAGAGAAAAGGCAGATCCCAGACTCTTCTGCAGGACCCTGATACAGATTTTGATCTCCGTGGAGTGGGTGTGGCCTAGAAATCCACATTTTAATAAATAAGCTTGGTGATTAAGCTTATTTATTGGTGATTAAGCTTGTGCAGTTAGGCAAGTTTTTTCTCTTTCTCAGGGCCTCAGTTTCCCAGTTTCCAAACTTCCCAGGTAGGGAAACTGAGGCCCAGAGAGGAGAAAAAACTTGCCTAACTGTACAACTAAGTCATAATGAAGGGCTCAGAACCTACTTTTTAGAACTGTAGAGCAGTGGCCAAAATATTAGGCCTCTTCCCTACTTGGCAAATTTCATGTGACCAAAGAAGAAAATGTCAAAGAAAAATTTGAAAATTCAAAGGCATTCATTCATTCATTCTTCATTGGTTCATTCAAGAAATATTCACGGAGGGCCAAGCAATATGCTAGGCAATATGAAGTGGTAGAGGGGAACAAACCCAGTCTATAGCACCATGAGCTTCCTGTGTGTGATCTGGTCAGGGAGGAGAAGACTCACATGTCGTGACAAGAGAGGAGAGTCAACATGGCGCTGGGAGTACCAGGGCACTAGCCTGGTGTCAGGGATGGAGAAGGCCTTCTTGTGGAAATGCCGTTAAGCACAGGCCAGAAGGATCAGTTCTTCTGGATTACGTGCATTACTACTACTGTTGTAGTGGTCATTTTTCATGTTACATCTGGAAGGTGGCTTATTTTACATTTTATTTTGTTAAATTAAATGAGACAGAGGTGACATGTCTTGTCAGGGTCACAGAGAGGTTCAGAAAAGAAGCTGGTACAAAAAAAGCTAGTATCTGATGTAACATGAAAAATGACCACAGCAAAAGTAGGTACCAGCAGGAAGAAGAAGGCGCTTTATTTTAAATTTTCATTTTACAAAGGGAAAACAAGCCACAGAGTCTGAGAAATGTCCCCCGCATGACACAGTAAGTCAGGATTTAGGGCTGATGTAGTTACCCACCACACCAAGGAATGTCCCATCTTTTTCCTTCTTAACATCTTTATTTCCAGACACTGAAATAAAAGTTTTCATGAATAAAATAGTAACATGAAAGTACAGCCTCAAACAATTCATAACATCCTTAGAAATCATCTTGTCCAAAACTCACTTTAAGAATGAATAAACTGAAATCCCCCAAACTTAAGTTCATGTACCTAAATCGCATATTGGGCTATTGGCTAAGATAAAACCAGAAAAGAGCAATCTCAACTCTTTGTCCATGTTCTTCTCCCTCACTTCTTTTTAGTTTACTTTTTAAGTTAAATTAATTTTTAATTTTATTGAAAAACATTTATGAAATCTACTCTATTAACATTTTTTTTTTTACACGGAGTCTTACTCTGTTGCCCAGGCTGGAGTGCAGTGCTGTGATCTCAGCTCACTGCAACCTCCGCCTCCCGGGTTCACGTGATTCTTCTGCCTCAGCCTCCTGAGTAGCTGGGATTACAGGCACGCACCATAATGCCTGGCAAATTTTTGCATTTTTAGTAGAGATGGGGTTTTACCATGTTGTTCAGGCTGGTCTCAAACTCCTGACTTCTTGATCCACCTGCTTTGGCCTCCCAAAGTGCTGGGATTATAGACATAAGTCACCGCGCCCGGCCCAATTTTCAAGTGCACAATATGGTATTGTTACCTATCGTTATTATGCTGCACAGCAGATCTTTAGAACTTACTAAACTTGCATAACTGAAATTTCATACTCACGGAACAACAAACTTCACATTTCCCTCTCCTAAGCCCCTGGTGACTACCTTTCTACTCTCTGCTTCTGTGAGGTTCCCTATTTAAACACTTCATGTAAGTGGTATCATGCAGTATTTGTCCTTCTGTGACTGGTTCATTTCACTTAGCACACGACCCTCCAGGTTCACTCATGTTATTGCATATGGCAACATTTTCTTATTTAAGACTGAATAGTATTGCATTGTATGTATATGCCATATTTCCTTTTTCTGTTCATCCCTCAATGAACATTTAGGTTGCTATCTTCTGCTTTTTAGATACTGTGTTGAAACTGAGTCAAGTCAACTGTTGCTTGCTTAAGCCAATTTGGCCTTTTACTAGTTGCCAAGCTTTCTGGTTAAATATCAGAGCTTCTGCGATTAGAGGTAGGTGGGGACTCTAACTCCCCTTCCTCATAACAGGGCTACTGTAGGCAATGGGCTTACATCACAACAAAAGGAAGTCTGAGACAGACATAATAAAGCAGGGCAAATGCTGCCAACCAGCCAGCTCTCTAGCTTGAGAGAGGCCACTCCACCCTCTGAGGCACCTGCGTGGCACTTTACCTGAGAAGTCTACTCTGCAGCAGCTGCTATCAGATCTGAGGGAGGCACCAATCAACCTTGCCTGTGATCTGCTCAGGCAACAGAGTCCTCCATGCGGGTCAGGGACCAGGGTTATCTCCATTCTAGGTCTCCAGGCAGCAGGATTCCCATACTTTTCCTGCCAGAATGGCGGGGCCTGTGTCATCTTTCTCACTGAGCACCTTTCTTTAGTTCCATTCCTTTTACTAAGGAAAGATTATTTCTACCACTCCTTTTTTAAGTTACAAATCCTTGGGTGGATTTTGAAAACAATATTTCAAGTCTGAACTAAACACCAGTGGAGCACAGAGTTCTGAATAGGATATAATTAGAAGCATTTTTCAAATAAGTTCCCTGACAGATTATGAAAAGACATTTTTCTATTTCTGGATAAAAAGACCACCATAATGTCATTAAAATAGAAGTCTCCTTGCACTGTTTATACTTCTTCATGCTTAGTATTTTATCACCCTTTTATCCTTCATGATTACCTGAGGGAAGGAATTGTTGTTCCCATTTAAGGGGGAGAAAATTAGAGGCTCAGATAAGAACAATATTTGTGGAAAATTATTCTACTTACACAATAAATTGCTACAATTGGTGCTCTCAGGAGAAGGAAACTGCTGACTGGGGGAACACTTTAATTTATACACTTTTGTACATTTTGCTATTTGAACTACGTGAATGTTCTAATTAAAAATAAATAAGAGTATAAAAATTGTCCAGCCCTGGTGTCTCACACCTGTAATCCTAGCACTTTGGAAGTCTTGGCCAAGTGGATCTCCTCAGCTTGGGAGTTCGAGACCAGCCTGGCAACATGGTGAAACCCCGTCTCTTCCAAAATACAAAATATTAGCTAGGCACAGTGGCATATGTCTGTGATCCTAGCTATCAGGAGGTTGAGGTAGGAGAATCTGTTGAGCCTGGGGGTGGAGGTTGCTGTGAGTTGAGATCCTGCCACTGCCCTCCCACCTGGGTGACAGAGTAAGACCTGTCTCAAAAAAAAAAACAATGAATAAAAATAAAAAGTCACATAATTTCTTCAAAAACTAAAACCAAAACCATACCAAAAAAATTATCCTGCTTGTTTGCTAAAAATTTAGAAACAGAAATGGCTCCCTGACCCCTCTTGTCCTTTCTGTTGCAAGTATTCACCATTGTACTGCAAAGTCAATTTCATAGCATCAAAAAGGAGAGGCAAAGAAAAATGAAATTATTACAAAGGTGATGATGGCAAGTAACAACACCTCCCATTGTACAATATTCTATCGCCAATGGAATGTCACAGTCTTTGTGGATTTATTAAGATCACAAGGATTCAAGTATTCAATAAACCATAAAGAAATGAGCAGCTCACAGGAACCATTGTTGTGACCATTACAGTGTTAGATATGGATGTATCACTATCTTAACAGTAGAGAATGTAAAAAGCTTCGGGAAGCCCAGGAATTTGCCCAAGAACAGTAAGCTAAAAAGAAGCTCTTACTGCCCACTTACCTGTGGTAGGTAGGAAGGTCATTTCCTTCTCTTTCTTGGTTTCCCCTTCAATGCCAGACACTAAAGTAAAAAAGGTTTAATCAGAGAAATTATAACCAAGATATAATACCAGAGAGAATTCAGTTCAACATACCCATTTTACAGATAAGAGAATTGTGATCTGGGATTGTGAAGTGGCATTTAAAATCCCACATCTAGTTTGTTCGTTCATTTAATCATTTAGTCATCAAATATTTGTTGACCAACTGCTAACGATGGCTCATGCTATTGAGTGCCTAGTATTTGCTAGGCATTGTGTGTGCTGGAAAGGCAGACACGTAGGCAAACAACATTGAATACCTTGAAGGGAATGGTGAGGGTATGTAATAGGGGGCTTATCTAGTCTCAGGAATCTGGAAGCCTTCCCTGAGAGTGGATGCTGAGCTAATCTCTGAAGAACAAATAGCATTTGAGTAGGACTTAACTGGTGGGGTGAATATTTGATGTATAGAGAACAGCACAAACCCAGTGTCTGATGTGGCATGAGTGTTACTTTAAAGAATTGAAAGAAGGACAACAGTGATGGGGGCATAAAGAATGAAGGAGGTGGAGGGGTAGGAAGTGGGGAGGGAGAGGAAGGCCGTGTCATGCAGAGCCTGAAAAGGACCTGGTACACTACACAGAGAGAAGTGGGAAGTCAGTGAATAATTTGGGGCAGGGGGAGAGAAAAGAGGGAGGAACTTGGAAGATGACATAATAAGATTTATAAAAAGATCACTCAGGCTGATTGCTGGTGAATGGGTCATGGAAAGACAAGAGGAGAAGCTGGTTTGGAAAGCTCGCTCATCGTCTGGGAAAAGGAAAATGATGTTTCGGACAAAGGTGGTAGCAGTGGAGGTGAAGAGAATTCTTTTGCATACATGGGACTCAAATGCAAAAAGTCAAGGGTAAAACAGAAATAGGGAAGTTATTTTTACCATTTTGAACAGACTCATTTAAGACTCTGGGCAGAAATGTTGGTGGCTGAGTTTCTGTAAAGCACAATGGATACTCAAGCTTAGTATACAGAACAGACACTTCCAGAACTCCAACCAGACCCACCTGTGTTCCAAAGGGACAAGACACACGCCATACCCACGCACAGCCTCACTGGAGGACCACGTGACAGGAAGCCCAGCATGCCTGTGATATTCTGGCCCACCTGGAAGGAAGCAAGCAGGCACCTGAGGAAACTGGCTAGATTACTAAGCACGTTTGTAACGCGGAGCTTTCTTTGAGAACAGTGCATGAAGAATCATTAAAACCATAATCTGAAAAAGGCTTTGTGCAGGTTCGGAGAGGTTAGGAAGCTAAGGTAACAAATTAACTCCACAATTTAATTGGCTTCACAACAAAAGTTGATTTCGTTTGCAGTACATACTCAATGCATTTTGGTGGGGAACTCTGCTCCCCACAGTCTCTCAGAGACTCCAGTTAATGGAGCTCCACTTTCCTGTAGTTCTCCACATGGCCACTGTAGCCTCCTTAGTCTTTGAGTCACTGTGGCACTGGAAGGGAGAGAGCTGTGGGATTATGCACCAACTCTTAAGTGCTTTGGCAGGAAGCAACACATGTGCTTTTGTAAGTTGCAGCCCATGCCAAAATTACTTATATGACCCTGCATGACTGCAGGAAGTCTGGGAATATAGAGGAGGATGCATACATACCCAGGGAGCATTAATGTTTCTTCCATGGGTTTTCTGGCTGTTGGGATGGGAAATATCCTTCAAATACAGCATCACTTCCTCTCATAAATAGGAAAATATATTATCATAGGATTATGTGAGTGTTCACAGTCTCCTTCCTTCTCTGCAGCAGTCTGTGCCAGCCATTCTCATTTTGCATTTGCCATGGAAAATCACCATGATAGCAACAGCTGCAAAGCTGAAACAAAATGAATAATGGCTAACATTTACCGAGCACTTTCTGCATGCCAGATGCCAAACAGAACGCTGTCTGATGCATACTTAATAATTGCACTGTCTTTCTGTGTAGATATTAATGTAATGACAATTTAAATACAGGCTGCACAGATATGATTTGAAGACAGGAGAAATTTTCCATTGGTAGAGAGTAGAATTTATGTAGAAGGTGAATTGGGACGGAAGAAAAGTCAAGAGAATGTGTACGTGGGTTGGAAAAAAATGTTACAGGAAGTGAGCATCCTGCTGGCAAATTGTATGTTGAGAAGTTCTGCTACCCATTAGGAATAGGAAGCTCCCATTTTCTTAAAAGATCCCCAAAACATACAAATAGCTCTTTAATTATTGGTAGATACGTGACTCAGAAGTTCTTCTATCCATTAGGAATGGGAAGCCCCCATTTTCTTATAAGATCCCCAAAACATTTAAATAGATTTTTAATTATTGATGGAGACATAACTGGCATTCGTTCTAGGTGTCACTCCAGACAGAAACAGGTCTTACAAAGAAGCAAGAGCTGGGGCTTTCTTGGAGCTCGCCTATTCTCATAAGTCTGTTTACTCTCTGAATATCAATTTTCCTCATCTGCAAAACAATTAAGAGAACTCCCACAAGGTCTTTGTGAGGATTTGAGATGATGAATCCAGAACATTTAACCTAGCGCCTGGAACATCGCTGTGCTCACAATACATACCAGGCATCAAGCTCAGGCTGGAGACACAGGGACAGAGTAGATACTGCCACTTCCCTTGAGCTGTTTAGTAACTTAGAAGATGTAGACATATGCCCAACTAATTCACACTTAAGGCTGGCTGTGCGAAATTCACCACTGATAGAGAGAGCGAGAGAGTGAGCACCTGGTGAAGCCAGGACTGAGTGTTCTCTCCAGCAAAGGGTAACTGGGAGTGGAGGTGGGCAGGCAGTTCCTGCTAAGTGAAGATTCTTTTCTTTGGGACCTCAACTGCTGTGCAAACATCTCCGCTTTCTAAGCCTTGTGTGTAGAATGGACAGTTATAGCCACTTTGAAGGTATTTTTGTGAAGATTAAATGAGACAATGAAATATGATGCTTAGTACAACCTCTGAAATGTGGTAGATATTAGGAATCTTAATTTCTTTTTCATTCTCTTATCTTTCTCTCTTTTCTCCTCTTTCTCCTCTTCTTCTTCAGCATCTATTTCAGGACTCAGCGTCATATCAGAGAAATAAGAAATTAAAAGATGAAAACTTACAGTAGAAAAACAAGCATTTATACTTATATAATAGCTACAAATTTCTCTCTCCTTTTGACTACTGCTTTTTTATGTTGACCACCCTCTTCCGTTTACTAAGAGTAAACACGCTAAGATTCATTACTCGAAGGCTACAATTCTTACTGATTTTGTTCTTGGAGAAAAATGCATTTTTACTTCTCTCTTGTTTTTAAACTTTTTTTTTTATCATTGGCCAAGTCAATTATATGTTTGGATTAAGGATGTCAGATTTAACAAGTAACACAGGACACCCAGTTAAATTTGAATCTGAGATAACAATGAATAATATCTTGGTGTCTCATGCAATATTTGGAATATCCATAGTTTGGAGAGTTGGAGAGTTTTATAAAAGAACACTTCCGACTGACTAGACTTCACCAGATAGTAAAACTGAGAACATCTGGCAACACTCCCCTTTGCAAGCCTGGGCCCCTGTGGGACAATCTAGGACAGGGAGACAGCCTGGGTTTAAGGTAAGACAGATTGAATCTTGAGTTAGCCATTGTGATCTGGGTTAACTTACTTAACCTTCACTCCATCAAAAATTATCTGTGGAGCTCATGGCAAGTTGTTACAAGCACAAACCCTGGAGTCAGAAGATTGCTTACTTCCTGGCTCTGCTGTGCAGCTTACTAAATCTCTCTGTGCCTCACCCAAGACTGTCCTGAGAATTAAAACATGTTACTTTTTTTTTTTTTTTTGAAATGGAGTCTCACTCTGTCTCCCAGGTTGGATCGCAGTGTGATCTCAGCTAACTGCAACTTCCACCTCCCCAGTTCAAGCGATTCTCCTACCTTGGCCTCCCCAGTAGCTGGGATTACTGGCGCATGCCACCATGCCTGGCTAATTTTTGTATTTTTGGTAGAGACAGGGTTTCACCATGATGGCCAGGCTGGTCTCAAACTCCTGACCTCGTGATCCGCCTGCCTTGGCCTCCCAAAGTGCTGGCATTACAGGTGTGAGCCACTGTGCCTGGCCAAATGTGTTACATTTATAGACTTCAGTGGACAGTGTCTGACAAGTGCTATATAATGGTTAACATGTAAGTAATATAATTAAAGTAAAGTAATGGCAAAAACCACAATTACTTTTGCACCAACCTAATATAATGACAATAATAAAAATCATAAAATATAATAAAAGACGTTGGTACTCCAATAGTAAAAAAGACAGACAATGATCTTCATATGATAGAGTTACAGTCCTCAAAGTTGTATCTTAAAAAGACTGAATAGAGATCCAAAAACTTTACCATAAAATTGTCATTATTTCACCACATTTCTCGTGACTATTACTGGAAAATTATCTATAAACATTTGTTTCTTCAGTGACACTTGCAGAGGCGTAAGTCATGTGATGACAGGATAACAGTAACTATACATTGAAGGGGATCAGAATATGCCAGCCAAAATATACTATCCCCTAATGAGCAACTTTGGGCTCATGGATCATTTTGAGTGGAAGGCCATTGAGAATCAATAGATGCAGAAAGAAGCCTTCTTGGAGCTTCTCCTACCTGACTATATGCAGACATGTCTGAGAAATTCTCTCTCTCCTGGAGAGTTTTATGGCCATGAAGAAGATGGAAAGTGGGCGCTGAGTAGGCGCACAAACAACCGTTAAAAAAATAAGCCTTATCTTCCATTGGTTTCCCCATATATTTCCTTCCCACAATCTACCACCTCTAGAAGCTCAAAACTCTTTCCCTTCGTCTTGTCACTTCACAAATTTCTCATCTTTTTGTTAAAGTGATTTATAAGCCCCCAAGTCTGATGGCCCTTTTAGGGTTTTTATTTCATTTTTGTGAGGACTCATATAAGCATATGAAAAGAAAAATTTCTCCTGTAATCTTTCTTTTGTTTGTTTAATTTGCAGGACCTCAGAAATTGAACCTAAGAGAGTAGAGGAAACAGGGTTTTCCTCCCGTAGACTACAACTTATTGATCCTCCCATATTGAGCACAATCTGTTATTTAGCTTCCAAAGCATCCCATGAGACAGACATTGATAGTTGGGTTACACAAGATAAAGGCCCAGGGGTCTGAGGTGTAGCCCCAGCTCCCAGTCACATGATTTCCAAGTGGGAGAACTGGGAATTCAACCATGGTCTCTCAGATATGAAAGTCTCTTTTCCACAGTGTTCTGTTTTACTCTGCTGCTTTCAAAATACCATCTTGGAGTGCTAGTAAAAAGCCTGAGATCGAAAACAAACAGAATCACCATTTCAAAGCATTTTGGGAGGTGGAAGGGTTAGAAATCCAGTCACACTCTCGGGAGAAGGGCTGAGAAGTATTGCTGTGACTGATGGGACAAGAATCCACCCAAGAGTCTTGTGAAATTAGTTTGCAACATGTCTATGTGTTTTATCACAGCAGCCCTGGAGCCGGCAGGGTGGATGGTGAAGGCAAATGCTCCGGAGTCTTAATTAAACATCGTGCTACCTCCATTCATCAAGGGTCCCAAATCAACCAAGGTTAGTTCAGCTTGGCAAGCAAATCTGCCTTTTTCACTGAACTTTTCAGCCAAAAGGTGCTGGATCAGATATAGCATAATTATGGTGTGCTGTGGAGGGTGGAAATGCACGCTGGAGTGTCAGCTGGTGTGGGCTAGCCACAATGAACGACACATGTTCTGAGGCATTACGATGGTCCATTCAGCTGGTAACCTTCCATGTAGATATCAGCTTCCCCTTCTGGGAGAGAAGGCAGAAGCCTGGGGATTCTAGACAGTTTGCCCAAGGTCATTAAGCTGGCAGGGGCATCCCTGGACTTCAAGCTTAGGCAGTTTGGCTCCATGAGCTGTGACAGAACACCAAAAAGTGAGGGGCAGCCTTAAAATGTCCAATGACGGAAAAGAGGTAAAGATTCTAATATTTGTTGACCATCTGATGTACTAGGAGTTTAACATGTAAACCAATGGGTTTACTTACCCATTTGGTCCTCCAAGCAACCCTAATAATGACTTATTA